GGAGTGAAAGCAAAGTAGTTTCGAGGCGAGATAATCTGAACCTCATATTGAGAATTATTCAAATTCTTCAAGAAACTAGTTCCAGCCCATCCAGTTCCGAGCAGCACCACCTTCTTCTTCTTGGTTCCAGTTTCAACAATACCAGCACCGTTCGCTCCATAGGATGCGTTTGCCTCAGAATAAGCTATAAGTCCACCACCACTATACCAACAATGCACAGTATCTCACATCAGTAAACAACTCAAATCTGAATCAAACCTTCGCATTATAAACACAGATCAAAACGATAACCTAGAAAACTATACAGTAAAATAATCAGAGATCCAGGACATAAAGCACTATAGCGTAAACAGTAAAACGAAATTTGCAAAATCGAGATGATGATTGAGTTTCACCGAATCAGATTCGTTAAGAATATGAAACGCGTTCTTCCTGAAAGAAACTGGGAGATTCATAATGTAGAAAAAACAAGTGTTGCGTGAATAATACAACCTAGATAATCTATTCAACAGTTTTTCTTTCTGGAGAATCTGTTGTTCATACGTTTCCAGGTAGAGAATTGAGGGAGAAATTGTAAGGTTTTAACAACAGAGAAGCAAAAAAAACAGAGAGCTATGAAAATCGTTTTTGAAGAAGAAGATGACCTGATCGTGGAGACGACGAGAATCCTGGTGAGAGAAGGATGATCTTGAAAAGCTTTAGAGAATCTCTCGAAGATACTGAAATTTCTCATTTTCGCTCTTGGTTCGATTCAATCACTGAGAAGAAATTTTTTTTCACAGCAACGCCAAGAATCCTGGAGAATTGTAATTGAAGGAAGAAATAGAGAAAAAGAGAGAGATCTAGAGGGCCAGGAGATGATTGTGACGGTGGAGAAGTAGAGTTTGGCATACGTTTTGGTTGACCACGTGGCATCCGTGTAAAAGTCGAGTCAAATATAAAATTAAATGAAAAAGAACACAACGAGGTTATGATTGGTGGAGAATATTTATTTCTATTTATTACTTTGTTTTGTTAATATAATTATTCCAGAATTTCAGTTTCGTCACGTATTAATTATGACATTTATACATATTAATATTGTGAGACAGTAATTAAATATTTGTCAAACGATCTTGGTGGCCAAGCCAGATCCTCCCTGTATAAAGTATTTGTTTGCAATTTATTTCATTTTCTTGTCGACAACTTTCAATACATTATACGTAAATCGTGACGACATTACCATTAGACATCAAATTCCAGTTTGTTTGTTGAAAATTATTAAATTAGATACTTGACGAATCAAATTATACTCAGAATATTGCTGCCAAAACAAATTGTCAGAATATTTTTCTGTATGAACATAAAATTACAAAAAGTGTTTCCGTTTGTTTTCGTATATACAACGCAACTATATTTTTATTTATTAGTATTATTCAATATAGACATATAGTATATTTTTTAATATTTTCGAAGTAGAGAAAATCTCATGAAGAAACATCAATCTCGATCAAACTCTCCTCCTCTTCAAGCAAATCCAAATCTAAATTAAATTGATTTTGGTTGATCATCTTATTATGGCAGCCATTACAGTACTACTCATCGAGCTTTATCTCAATCAACCCCTCTCCTTCTTCGTCTTCCCATTCTAAGCTCACTTTCTCTGGTGAACTCCAGTCATCAAGAACCGGAAAATCGTTGTCCAATCGGGAACCGGAATCCAAATAAAATTTCGGTTAAATTATCGATAACGAAGGGAATATCTTGATCCTCCTGAACCGGATCGGATCTTTAACATCCACAACCGGGAAATAGTTATCCAATTCGGACCCGAAACCCAAATAAAATTCCGGTTTAATCGACAACGATGGTAACCTTTCGATCATCACGAACCGGGTTGGATCATTTTCACTCATAACCGGGAAATCGCTGTCCAATTCGGAATCAGATTCCGGGTTAAACATCGATAACGATGGTAACCTCTCGATCATTACAAACCGGGTCGGATCTTTTACACCCGTCATCGACTGTTCTTCTTCTTCGTGTACAACTTCCAATGAGCTCTCAATTTCAAATTCCATTCCACTAAATCGCCCATGAAATCCGGGTTTGAACCGAGACCAGTTTTGAGTTCGGGTCCTATCAAATTCTCATTATTTCCGGGTCGGGCAATGGATTCTCGGGTCGACCCGAAGCGGAAGTAGTAGACTAAGAGCCGGCACTAAGCAAGCATGTGCTTGTGGCCCTCAAGGGGATACATATTTTATCGGCCGTTGAATCGCAAAAATGTCTCGTTAGTCTGTTGGTAAAGTCCCACAAAAGTGACCTCAAGGCTCAGGGTTCGATCTATTTCAGTATCATTGTTATCTCTTTGTTACTCAAAAAAAAAAAAACAGCCCTAAAATCTTTTTGGACTTGTGGGCCTCATAATCTGTGGGAAATAAGAATCCGAAGAGAATCTTGAAGGAAATAAAGTAGAAATATAGTATAGAGTGAAATGAAACAAGAGAACAGAGGATGAGAGAATAAAAAGCTCGTCCATGGGATTTTTCCAATTTCCTCCATTTGATGAAGTGGAAGAGACACTTAAGGTGTTAGACTGTTAGTTATATTTACAAGCACCTAATGATACTTATAAGAAGCTTAAAACACTAGGTTTAATAGATTGTTGACGCTTTGTTTTTTTCACCTATATTTTTTTACACATTTGGTGATATCATTTTGTTTAAAACGTGAAAACATAGGATCTTGATTAATATTTTAAATGATAACAAGTAACGTAATCATGTTTACAGAACGTTAAAACACGGAAAAATGATATACTTTTATCAATTAAACAAATTTATTTTTTATCAAAATAAAAAGCTAGTGAAATTTTTGGTGTATATTAGCCTTCTTGTTACAAGATCGTCATTGATCTTTTTATGATTTATTTTTACAACGCATAAGTTAAAGCTATTAACCAATACTCCTTTTAAATAGAAAACGCGTCAAATCTTTTCTTTGGTTTTTCTTGAATACGTTTTGTCTTTGATGTCTGAATGTTTGACTAGAAAAGATCTTGTAATTACATTTACTTCCGTGATGGTAGTTTAGTGGCACTTTTTTGTTGGTCAATGCCAAAAAGTCGTTTCTCGTTGAACTCTTCTTCTTTTGACCATTAGAAAATTTACATGACGATTAAGTAACCTTCAATCCAAAATCACCTGTTTAGAAAATAAGAGTAAATTCTTTGGTTGGTAATTAATTTGTCAACGTTGTGCATGTTCTACGTTTGAATGATACTATACTATAGTATTTTTTTTATTGTGGTTGTAAGTTGTAACGAAAACTAAAGAAGTGACATTTGGCTAAATTCTAATCTGTTACTCGGTAGATTAGTGGAAGATGATGAAGTTGGTAGGTCATTAGTTATTATGAATTAGAATTAGGACTAGCAAATCTGAAGGCGAGAGCTTGTTAGGTCATCAAAACATTGTTAGTTGGAGATTGAAATACCATCTTACGGTTTTTCTTTCCCCCTTTTTTTTTTTTTGTTTGTCCTTTGTACAGAAAAATATATTAAAAGCAGTAAGTATAGCTTAGTAACGAATACGGTTTGGTTGAAAAAGATTGTTCAATAGTAAAAAAAAGTCTAGTAATTTTAGATTCCTTCCGTTTCATAATATAAGTTGTTTTGAAATTTTTTTATTTCACAATATAAGTTGTTTTCAAGTTTCTATAAAAGTTATATATTACTTTAATATTTTATAATTATTTATATTATGCAGTTTTTTTTATGATTGGCTAAACTTTTTAAAAGTAGATATTCTTATGTTTTCGGATTGTTTGTTATTTTTTAAACATGTATAATAATTATAATATAAAGTAGATTCACTTTTTTAGAAAATTTAATCGATGATATAAATGGTAAAAACGAACAAATGGTATATAATTCATCATCACTAAACAATTATATATTTCCCCAAAACTTTTGAAAATTAAAGACAAATGCAGATGATCGGTGACCAACATTGGACTGATAAAGATGCCACGAAAATGTAAAACCACATGAGACGTTAGAACCATTTTCGACCGACCATGTGTCATCAGTTGGTTTGAAACTCCATACGAAATGATCAAAACATTGGATTTGCAAGATTGTATGGTTTAGGTTCGATCCACGTGTAGTTTGGGTTAAAGCCCCTTTAGTTGCATTTTTTTAACATGAAGAAAAAAATGGATGGTTCTACCACACTCACAAGTATTTCGAATACGACATCTTTGTTTAGAGAAACAGAGATCATTGGGTCGATTATTTACAACTTTCCAGATAACAAAAAATAGCTGTCGGTGAGTTTTGTAATATATAAAAGATCGAACTTTCGTGAAGTGAAGCTACTTTTTAGCTATTTTTATAGAATTTGCCTCTCTTTTTTTCCTCTTTTCTTTCTACATCCACATGTGGAGAGCAATGTATTAAATAAAAAACAATCCATTTTGAGCTGTTGATCGGAGTGAATATGCATATATGACATAAAGTCTGCATAATAATTTAATCTGACACACAAATTGATTTTTTCATATATGAGTATTTTTTAAATTCATTCAATGTGTTCACTTACATAGATTAAAAAAGGGAGTAACATGTAAGTTGATTATTCACATGATTTTTATAAATAGGATGTTATGTTGAAATGTGACGAGTTGATAAAGAAAAGGAAAGAAAACACAATGACCATGAATGAAACTCGTCCGGTCGTCCCGTGTGGTGCGAGCTCGTTTCATTTACCTCGAGGCAATGTCAGTAATAACCAAATCATTTATCTATCAATGTATGTATATTCGTTATTGTTAGAATCGTACCACACTTTTTTCGCATTCTGAATCGACATCTCCATTTGCAAACGATATACATATCAATAAATTGTGGTTACAAGGTAATTTTTGTCCGTTTTAAGTGAAAAATCCAATATTTACAAGAGTGGATTTTTTTACTTCTCATTTACTGGATATATTCTCTTGATTTATTCATCATATAAGCAATATTTCAAGATTCATTCAATGTGCTCACTTGCATAATATAATAAAAAACAGCAAATATAAGAAAGTCAAGAAATAGCAGTATTAAAAAAAAATCTTAATAGTTTTTAGTGGAAAAGGACAAAACCAATACTTAGGATACTCTGATCAGAAGCCAAAAAATTAAAGTATTCACAAATAATATTTAACCTTCCAAATTCTGCAAATAATTGGTTATATTCACATGATCAGTAATTATAATAAAAAGCTTCAGTGATAAGAATTGAAGCAAAAGCAAACTCTACGTCGTCTTCTTTCTTCATATTCTTCTGCACAATTAGCTAAATTCTTCTTCTTCTTCTTTTTTTGGGTTACCTTTCTTCTTCATTTAAACAATACCATAGAGATCTTCGACAAATCCGATTCACGACTAATAATCCTCCTTCGAATTGGTGCATTCGGAGGCTCCATTTCATCATCTTGATTACTCGAATCCGAATCTTCCTCAAGGACTAGTATTGCGTCTCGAAAAGGCAATCTCTTTTTAGGTGTGCTATAATCAAAATGCGACTTCTTTGCTTCAATTACCTAAAATCCCATAAATTCAAAAAAACATTAATTATTATTGCTTAATTAGAAAAATTCAATGATCGATCATTTCTTGATTTAAAATCTTGAAAAATAATATAATTGAAAACTTAAAACTTACAGCTTTTCTTATTGTTTTAGATACACGTTTTAGTGTGGCTAGGTCCTCGTGATCCACATGACAAAGTACCCGAATCTGCAAAATTTTTACCAAATCAATTCAAATCCCCAAAACTAATCACAATTACAGAGAAAAAAAAAATTAAATGAACTTACCAAAATATCTTGATGCAGAGATTCAAGCAGAGACCTATTATATTCCGTCGTTTCATCACTTGGTCTCTTCACCGGCGGCGAATCATATGCCGGAGCTCGATCAGAATTTGAGTTAGATTTAGAAATGAGAATTCTTTTCCTCCCTAATCCTCTAGTAAACCTAACAAACCCTAACCCTAATCCCTCACACTCACGTTTCGACTTAATATCAAATCCACCACTCAAAAACGCCATAACTGAATTTCAGAAGCTAATGGATCATAAGCAAAATCCAAGAGAAGATTTAAGAGAGATAACAGAAGTAAGAAACAAAAGATTATGTGAATCGTTTTCTGGGAGAGAGAATCTGAGACTGAAGATTTGATAGAAATTTTTAAATTAGGAAACAAAAAAAAAATTGAATTAAGGAAGAAGAAAATAAAGCTCAAATGGATCAGCTTAATTTATAAATCTTCCATTTTTATTTTCCGCGTTAGACGGTGAATAAAAAACCTTTAAAGTATAACACGTGGCGTTATTTTATTGGTTAAGTGATTAAGTGGTGATCGTGGTCGGTCGGTCGTTTTCGGCTGGCTTTTAAAAGGGTAGTGTCGGGTTTTAACACGGCTTCTTTTTTCTCTTTTACACGGTGGAGTGAGGAATCATGTGAGGTTAAGAGCACGGATTAATCGGTGGTTCGTTTCGATAATCGTGCGACACGTGGATTATGAACGGTGTGATTTTGTAACTTAGTGAGGAAGGTTGACTTGTGCAGTGTGCTCATTGGATTCCGTTAAAAAGGAGGCTGACGGCGATTATATGATTCTCCACGTGGGAATATGTATTTAATTTTAATTTTTTTGAAAAGTGTAGTAAATTACGAATATGCCATGCTTTGCGGTTAAGGTTTTTCGATTATGGAAATCTTTTTGATTATAAAAAAAAAGAATTTTGTTGGCTGATTATAGCTTTTTTTTTTTCTGTTATAAAGAGTGACATAAAAGTTAGGGACTTTGGGATAGTCAAAGTGATGGAGCACAGAAAATGAGAGTTTATGTATAATCGTGTGAATTATGATGATTCACCGTGTTTAGGTATTGTTGATAAGGTTAATGTAGCGTAGTTATGAACTATGAGCATGTTTAGAAAATTTCAAAAAAAAAAAATTATTGGTTTTAGAGGTGTTAAAAATATCATTAGAAAAAAATAGTAAGATTAGGAAGTAATTAATTGATTGTATAGGTGCCATTTCTCATAAATATATTCAAAATCTATACGAAAATCAAAGTAGTCGATCTCAAATACAAAATTTCATAATATTGTACGCTCATGAATGATAAACTCTCAAAATTATATTAATACATTATAATCGTATTGAAACTTTAGAATTAACTTTCAAATTATATTAATACATTGTAATGAAACTTTTTTTTTTTAATATAAAGTTATTTTATTAATCCCAAATGGGCTTATGAAAGTTGGACCAAACGACCAACCACGGTTACAAAATAAAAGAGACCCAATACGAAAACCAGCGAAAACAAGATCAGCTCCATGCAGTACACCGGAAAACACGAACTTCGCCTTCCGACGCTAGCAAGGACGGCTCCTTTGCGGCTAGACTTATGAAACTTATGAATGATAAACTTTCAAATTATATTAATACATTATATACGCTTACAATTATTTCAAAATAAGGGTGTAGATAATCAATATCAAATACTTCAAAATGGGTAAAAAAATTAGTATTATTTAATAAATTTTGAATAATATATATGTAATTTAATTTAGTAAAAGTAAATTCTAGCGCCAATTGCAGCGTTGAACACATCGTGCTTCTTGAAAGAAACATTTCATCGGACTTAAGGAGGTACAACAATAACATAGGCCTTTACTACCATCGTTGCATTTTGTTCTTATGCATTGTTTTTCACCTTTCTTGATCGTTTCAAGACCTTCTCTTTGTACACCTATTTAACAAACAAAACCAATAAATTTTGTTTGAACAAAAATGAAATAAAATCAGTTTTGTTTATATGATTACAATGATGATGATAATGAAAAATGATAAACAAAAACGAAACTATATATCCATCGCATGTACATACATTCATATAGAGGAAATAAGGCAATCAGGATGATGCAAAAGATAGCAAACTGTGATGATGACATCGTTGTGATATTTTGTTTTTTTGTTTTTGTTATTTTTTGTTTTTGAAATTGGTAATTTTGTTGTTTGTTGGTCGAAATTCTTCCATACGGTATACATATAGAGGTAGGTTAGGTAATGCCTAGTGCAGGTCTTGTTTGGTGATCCATAAAAAACTGATTGATCATTGGTTTGACTAGTTTTTTCTCTCTAATTACTCCGTATTAATAGTATAGTTTATAGTTTCTTCTTGGGAGAGTTCCATGAAAATACACCATCTATTTTTTCATTTCCATGAAAATACACAAACTTTTTCGTATCTGTAGAAAAAATACACGAGCTATTTTTTTTACCTATTTTAATATTTAAAATCTAAATCGTGCATCCATTTTAAAACATATCATAACTGGATTTTAATGTCAATATTCACGATGCTCGACACGATTGTTATTTCGTTTAGTTTCTAATCCCAATTAAGAAAATGAACTTATATGCTCAAGATTCTTCCTGTTAAATTAGCGAAAATCTCCAAATCTAAATAATCCTCAAATAAGTAACTCTACTTTTCATAAACTCGAAAAAAATGATAAAAACGAAATTTTTTTAAGTCGGTTAACCTATGTTTATGTTGCAAACTGATTGTACCATATAACCTCTATCAAGAGGTGAATATGTGATTTGTTGCGTTTTGAAGAATTATCAGGATTTTGCCATAGCTCAAAGAAATCGATCTCATTTGAAGACGTCAAATAAAGATTGGACTCGAGCATGAAGGATCGATCAATCCTACCAATGGATCGATCGATCCCATTTGAAGACGCTGGAGCGTATTTGGCAACTACTGAACTACTGTGTATCCTTATAATTTCACATTTTCTTACTAGCTTCTCTTAATGTTTGAACTTTGCTAACTTACAATCTAGTCCACACAACTTCAACAACTACAATGATCCATTCCACAGTATCCTAATTCACTAACACAGAACTGTAATCATATAGTCCCCCGAGAGTAATGATCATTGTAATTCTAATTTGGTTTAGATAACTTTCATATAACCAAAATATGGTACACATAAGCACATTCAACTCCTCAAACGAGCAAAATTGTCTTTGGATTACCACTAAAAACTAGAGGAAAACTAAGACATGCACACAAAAACAAGAAACCAAACCTACATTGGTTTTAATTACCAGCTTTAGGCAAAGCTGCCATGAAAGAGTTGTATGATGACTCCAGATCAAAGTGAAGTTGCCTTGACTGTTGTTCCGTAAGTTCATCCGCTGCTCCCATCTTAGACAACCTCGAAAGCCATTCTTTCATCTTCGTCTTCCCTTCGAAATCCGGCGGTAGAATACTCAGTTTGTTGAGAGAAGCCGATAGATCAGACAAGAGAGGATAAACCTGATCGACAGCCACCATGTTTAGTTTTAAAGAATCCATCGATGTGATGAAATTCTGTACACATTCAGCAACAATGGATGCAGAGTTCGACGTAGATGCTGCTACAGTAGCTCGGTGTTCCACTGTGGCGGGAAGACCAGATGTCACAAGTCTGTATAGAGCAGCTGGACAGTCCATTTTGTATGTGTCTGCAAATCTTTCGATGTTTGGCACCGTGTCTTTGAGTGTAGCGGATAAAGTTTTGAAGTGGACAATGAGTTTCTGGCATTCAGATTCGTACTCTGAAGGATTGATTAAGTCTCTGATATAAGCTTTCTCGAGCTTCTCTGTGGCTTTGATGATTGCAAAAAGCTCTGCAAAATTCTCATACATCTCTCTTTCGCGTTTGTCGTTCCATAACTTGACCTCCATCATCTTTTCTCTTAAAAGCAAGTCAATCTATGGAGAAGAGAATGGAACACGCACAGAGCAAAGTCAAGATCCTAATATCTCAATAGAAGAATATATCAAGAAGAAATGCAAAGCAACTAGAATCGTCCAAAGAAACCTATAACAAGAGGCTAATAGTTCTTCACTAAACTTTCTAAATCTTGTTAGAAGCAATAAAAATCGCAGATTTATTCAACCAACAGACTCAAATTAGAACTCTAATGTCACACACACAGTTATATGAGTTTGAGATTTTTTCAAAAAAGATCAAACAAAGAAGAGAATAAAAACCAAATCGAATCATCTCTAACCTATCAAGAAGCTAATACCTTCGTTAATTTAGTGATGGGTCGATTCAAAACCCTAAATTGAAGTAAATTAGGGGAAATTACATTCACTGATTAAACAGATGAAAATATCTGAAAAACATCCATAGCGAAGAAGAAGATAAATCATACGAATTTGAAAGTAAGAGAGAATAAAAACTGACCTGGGAAAATTAAACGGAGAAAGAAATTTTTCTGATCGGAGAAGTTGAATTGTGAAAGAGGATTGATGAAGAAGAAGATCACAATTAATTTTAGTATAAAATATAATAAATCTTGAACCGGTGACTAATTTGATAGTGGTCGGACCGGTTTTTCATTACCAAATTGAGTGACTTTGAATTGGTCGTATTAGGGAGATGCATGGTTGATAATAATCATACTGATCCGATCTAATCCGAATCGAGCCAAACATAATCAATTTGAAATTCTAATTATTTTATATTCCTTCCGTGTCATTCTACAATTCTTCACACAAATTAAGAAAAGTAAACAAAATTCTTTTCTACTATTTATTAATACATTAGATAATACCCTCTCTCTAATTAATAAGCTGAAAAAGTAGGGATAAAAAAGAGAATTGGTCTTAAAAACTGCATTGAAAACATAAAACGACACTCTTTGTAAAATAAGATTAAAACTTTAAAACGACACTCTTTGTGAAACGGAGGGAGTAGTTAAATGTTGTTTATATTGTTTGATCCGATTTGACGATGTTTTTTTTTTAAATGATAGAAACTAAAAAGTGAATTTGCTTTTGAAGTTTCTATAATGATTTTGTAAATTCGTTTTGATATCAATAAATTTGTTTAGTCGGAAAAAGAAAAGTGTTCAATCCAATTTTTTGTTTGGTTTGAGGTCAGATTTTGGTTTTATTTTGGTATAGTTTATAAATAATAATTTCTACAATAAAATATAATCTAATTTGCATGATTTGATATCCTTTTGGGTTTTGGGTTGTGTTCAAATTTTAATCAAATATTTATACGTTAACCGATTTTTTTGGATGAAGAGATGTTGAGTCGCAGCGTCGGTTAATATCGATCGCTGGAAATTTCAGCGACAACAACATCATGAACGACAAAGAATCTAGAGAAGAAAATCTCAGATAAAACTTAATTAGCAACAAAAATAAAAGAAATCAAGTGTAATTTCAGTCGCCGGAAGCTGTCGCTCGGGACTTGCAAAAAAACTCACTTGGGATAATGTGATCAAAATCAAGATCACGAATGTAGTAATATGCGATTTTGGTCACAAGATTTACATAATTAAATCTAAAGACATACACACATATCTTAGTATCTTACCATAACATACATCTAAAACCATTAAATTTTTACTTTTCATCACTGAGACCACGGAAAGACTTGTAACGTCTTACAGACTCCAACCTCTGCAATTTCATCTCACCCTTGAATTTTGTAATGAAAGCTTCCACTCGTGAATTGAGCTCCTCTCTTCCCATTGATAACTCTTTTTTCAACTTCACCCACGACGGAATCCTCTCCATCAACTTCTTTCCCGGCCGCGCCGGAGACGAATAAGGAGGCTTCCTCGCTCTCGACGATGACGGCGAAAGCGACGACAGGGAGGGAGTAGGCCTCCCCGCTCGCGACGGTGACAGTGACGGCAACGGCCATGAAGATGTGGGCATTTTTGTGTCTTGCAACGAGTTAGGTTTCTTTGGTTGTTTTTCGGCTTTGACTCTTTCCCACATCTCCTCCATGGTCTCGCTCTCGTCACCCGATGTGTTGTCTGATGTTGATAAAGTTATATATACTAATTAGTTGGAATTTTTTAATGGTGGTATTAAATCAAAGTTAACGTAATATTCATTGTTCATTACGAAATCACTTAACTCTACTTTTATACGTAAATAAATAATTTATCTTTATACCCTAACAAAAAGACTAAGTATTATTTAGAATTTCTTAATTAGATCTTCTTATTGTTTAAAAAAAAAGAAATTTCATTTATCAGATTTTCAGTTTAGTTTGGTTTTCTAAATCTTTAACAAGAAAAAGGTCTGGTTTATGTTTAAAGTTTAAACATACGATTTTTCTAACTGGGTAAAATTAAAGTACGAACTAAAAAAAAAAACTGAAACTCAAATATAATTGTAATAAAAGAATTTGCAGAGAAACTACAAAATTTTTGCGACGGCATGTTAAAAGATACCTTGTCGAAAAGTCTTTACAGGAGCAGTAGGTGGACGTCGGAGACCGACGGGTTTCTCCGGCGCCGTGGAAGGAAAACGAATCTCCGGAGAAGAAACTCCATAAGATCCTCCACTCTCTGATGATCTCACGGCCGAAAATTTTTCTTTCTCGTGAACCTTATTAATATTGTATTGATCAAACGAAGAATTGGATGAGTTATTAGAATAACGTTCGCGGTCTTGGTCACGACCACGATCATGGTCCTGGTCATGATGATGATCTTGTTCATAATGATAGGAATCATCATCATGGTGATGATTTGTGGCCGGAGAGTCATGAGATCCGTTGCCGAAGAGTGAACTAGAGGCTGCGAGGGCAAAGATGATGCCGGTGATGATGAAAATAGGGTGTAAATTAGTAGGGAGAAAGAAGCGAGCTCCGGTGAAGGAGAAGTTCAATACCGATCGGAGCATCAGTGATATGGCTCCGACTAATCCTGAAGAGATGATCCATGTCCTCGAGTTTGACATTAATTTTTATCTCTATATAGCCCTATTTGTCCCAGTTTAAAGTCTTTGCATGGTTTGCATATATGTATAAAAGTAAAACCAAAAGGTGATGACGGAAAAAATGAAAAAAAATATATTTAATTTATATTAATACCTCTAATTGTTCCGTTAAATTTAGATATTTTTTTTTTGTTTCACCCATAGTTAGAGACTTGAAAACTCCGTTTTTTTACTTGTTGTATGTATTTGACCAAAAAACACTTAGTACAATTTTGATATTCAATATGAATAAAAACTTGTTTTGTTTTAATAAATCTAACCTCGAGCACATATATTATTCAATTTTAATATACCATTGACTAAAGTTATCATATCATTGATTACTATTTTTAGCAGCACCATCAAAACTTATCTTTGTTGTGCGGCTTACGAAAAATTAGTCACTAATTGGAATATAAACTAAAGCATGGAAATTGAATTTAGGTATGGAAATTTAATATATACGTCGATCGAATAATTTAAAGATGGTTTGGAAAAACATGTAAATTGATTTGATATATATGTAATGTAACTCATGTCGACACTATTGATTATTTGACAAGGTCAAGATATTTATATAGTTCTATCAAATCTCACGGCAGAAGATATCTTAGTATTATTTTATGATTCTTGATTGAAATCTATACGAGCTAGATAAGGCTGAGAAGTATATTCTAAGAGATGAAAAAGAATTAATAATTTGAATTATTTGTCCTTTTTAAGGATTATATCGTTTTAAATTTGTCCCCAACTATTAAAAATCCCTACTGTGGATAAAATTTCCAAGAACTCATGGAAGTTCATCGAAGACTGTATGCTGTATGCATATAATACTACATGTACTTTTGAATATTAAATGAGTGTAACTTATAAATATCTTGTTGCATTTTTCCAATTGTTTTACATTTCATTATATGAGCAACGTAAGTTTAGATGGCGACCTAATGAGTTTTTCTTTTGTAAAGTATGGAGACCTAATTTTAAAATAGACCAGCTTGGTCAATAATATGGCCTTTGAGAAACTTATTTTAATTTTCAATATATAAAAGCCAAAGGGCCAATGAAAATTTAACCATGCTTACATGTAGCTAGTATCTTAGTGTGTGTATATATAATATGCATGCCTTAATGTACACGCATATGAAGTCAAGTAAATATACATAATTTACACTCCTGACGTTGCATGGCAATACTGTGTAAAAATGTATAGCCATATAGGAATCATGATACATAGTGTATACACATGTACAATTAGCGCATGCATTGGTTTACATATAATATCTAGGAGTATATAAATCATACCGAATTGAATAATTAATACAAGTTAAAACCGAACAAAAATTTATTCCTACAATCTACACAATCCAACCTTTTTTTTTACACCGATCAACCTAATCGAACGTAATATTGAAATTCATAAAAACAAATTCACATTTTAGTTCAAATATATTTTTATTTAAATTTTTGTTACACTTACTTTGTTGAACCGAATTAACTGAAGAAGCCGAATGTACAATCCTATCGATACTTAAACAAAAGTCAATAATCTATCATTTTTTAAGAGCAGTCTGATCCCGTTCGTAAACGAAAGTCAAAACTCAAATCTATAATCAAATTTAACAATATTTTTTATATAGGCTATATATGAGTTTTGCAATGATATCGATCTTCAACTAACAGATCAAACTCAATTCTAATTTAAACTCACTGCGTCACGCATGCATGCATGTAATTATGCATACATAAGTTGTTTGGCTCTCATCAATTAGGATATGTGTTCTGTTTGACTGTATCATAATTATGTATTTTATGTATAGCTATAATATGTAGTTTAGCGTAGAAAATTTGTAACAATACAGCTAATATCATTTTTTAATAATCTCATGAAGTTTCGAGGACTCTTACCTGTAGAATGTAGATTGGATTTTCATCACCTAAAGATCTCAGTCGGTCACACACACATCACCATGAGTCATTACTCATTACATTGACATAAACCATCAATTAAAGGGCCGCCCGTATATGAGTCAATTGACGTTGACTAGTCAAATCCAAGTCGAGTGACAAAACAATTTACATTGCATTACAATTTGAATCTTGACTTATAAATTTTCATGTGGAAGGTCAAAAGCTAAACATTCGTTGTTCACAGATATAATCAATTATTTACTACGAGTCTACTACATATGACACTCGTTTTGAGTAATATGTTCACAATTTCTAAGCAAGAACAACTGGCTGTATAATTGTCGAAATCGAATAAGAAAATCGGTCAACCTTTTTTTGTTATTAAAGATTTGGATGAATTTATATTTATGTAAGAGATTAGGATCACAATATCCCTTACTATATATATTACCACAAGAAAACAACAATTTTCGATGGATAAATCCGTTTGGAAAAGGTTATTTCCGCGGATTTTGTTTGTCAATTCTAAGTGGTCGGAAGTCAATCCACACACTTGAATTGGTTGCTTCTTTCTCGAGTAACTGATTTAGGTTTTTGCCAATTTTCCTTCGATCCCCCTGTTCCTCTTCTTATATTTCTTCAGCTTGTTAAATCGATTTGATAAATGGACTTAATAAATCTAATTTAAGGACTCTACTTATTTTCAACCGTTGAGAAAAGCTCTTAGTAAACCTAAGAATAACGGCTAACCTCCAACGGTAATATATAGTCTCTACTTCTACAATATTTAGCATAACCTTCAGGAGAATCTAAAGTGTTTTAATAGAATTAAGAGCAGTGATAATTATAGTCAAAGATTTCTCTCATTTCAAACTTTTCTAATTATAACCATAAGAGTTAGAGATAGAGAAAGAGAGAGAGATGGATTCAATCTTTCTAGAATTTCCGGACTGATTTTGTTTCCGAGATTTTCTTTCATTCTTTGTTTACAAGGGTTGAAGAAAAACAAAAACCTTTCTTTCTTGGCGCGCCTTTGTTTAACAGAATCACCTGAAAAATATTCATTAAGAAAGAGAATCTGATCTCTTTCTAATGGATTCTCCTGACTAAATAATATTTTGGTTGAGAAATCGATTTTTCGATTTCAAAACTCGCGATGTCAAGCGGGAGGCTTTGCGGCTTCACGCCGATAACCTTCTGTCGCAAGATCTCAAGATTGCAGGTTTTTCTTCGGTCCTTTATAAACCAGACATCAATTGTTCCTTGCTGAATATATTTACTTGTGTATTTACATTTAGTGGAATTTTTCTCAGAATGAATAAATAGAATTCAGCATTGTAAATGTAAACAAGAAGTTTGCTTACTGTTTATGTTTAGCATTTGTGTTTGTATTTTATGCACTTATTTTATTAAAAAAAAACTGAACAGTTTATATGTTTATAGATTAAACGATGTTTTTAACTGACTTTTACATTTGTGTTTGCCTTAACCTGTTAAAACATTAGGCTTTATAATGTTGTTTTTAGCTTGCAAGAGGGCTTGCTCTAAAAAGGCTTATCAAGGGAAAACACGAATTTAGACGCGCATCAACATCAAAGAAGAACAATGTCGAAAAAAAGAAAAATAAAGAGATCAAACGCACAGTTTCACAAATCTCTTCTTCTGTTGCACAAGCTTCTCCAAAGAGTTTCAATTCTACAAAACATGTTTCTACTCCCCGAGCTACCGCGTCTCCTTTGTCAGTAAAGAATGCAAAGAAGAAAGCGAATACACCGAAAAAGAACACTTTGGAGGGTTCTTCGCCGAAATGTTCAGCAAATTTCATTTTGATGGTGGAGTTAAGGAAAAACATCTTCGCTTTTAGAGATATGATTGATTTACCTTCTCTTGATGGTTCTTTATCTGTCACCGAGGTCAGTAGCGAAAGATTAATAACTTTATGCAATCTATTTGAGATTGTACTAAGGTCTAAAAGCTAAGACCCTAATGTCTTGTTTGCTTTCGAGTTTTTAGATTATAACACAAACGATGGAAGATCTACAAAAGCTTTCTCCTGAGATTGTAACCATTAATCAATCTTTTGAAATGGAAGGAGCTGACATGGATAAGGTACGTTCACAGAGGGTTTAAACAGATTTTGAGTTACTTAACAAACATTACAACTACAACAACAACAAGAAGAAAATCTTGAGTTTGTTTACTTGATGAGTCTTGTTAATCTGATTGATGAACCCCAGAAATGCCCCAAAAACAGATGTTAATTTTCTTCTACGAAGATCTCAGAGCTATTGGGGATTCTTGGATTATGGATAGTGACTGGATTTATCGATCTAAGTACAAAAACAGTGGCGTTGGGAAGAATAAGTCAGATCGTCTAGGTTTGTTTACTAAACACATTTTTCGAATCAAAAAACCCTAAAATGTAATACAGAACTCTTATCGACCATTTTTGTTTGTTTGTTTGCAGTGGAGCATGTATTAGCAGCTCTTGATGGACTAATCAAGACAACAAGAGAAAGATTTGGTATGATGGATCATGAATCTGAAGGTAGAAAGAGTTTTACACCAAAAGGTGTTTCATCAGAAGCAAGAAGAAGCTTTACAAGATCTGCTTCTTATTCAGAAAGTAACAACTCTTTTTATCCATCTCCATTAACACCAAGATCAGTACTTCCTGGGACAATGCTAATGTCTAGTAACTCAACATCTCCAAGTCTATGGAACTTAAGAGCTCAAGCTTTGGATAGGTTAAGCCCTGTTGATTTGAAGCGGTTTGCCATGCAGATCTTGTCACAAAGAGATTCAGAGAGTGTTAATGAAACAAAGATTGGTATCGAAGAAGAAAACGAAGAGAGTGAGATATTAGTAGAAGAAAAAGAAGAAGAAGATAATGATTTCTCTGTTTTAGAAACAGAGCATCATAAGGAAGGTTCTGAAACAGAGCATGAGACTGAAGCAGAGCATGAAATCGAAGGTTCTGAAACAGAGCATGAGATTGAAGCAAAGGATCATAGCGAACGTTGTGAAACAGAGCATCATATTGAAGGTTTCGAAACAGAGCATGAGATTGAAACAGAGGATCATAGTGAAACCACAAGTTCAGAGACTAACTCAACAGAATCTTCTCAAAAAGAAGATTTGCCTCCACCTCCACCACTTCCATCACCGCAAACGCCGTCACCAACGGTCTCAATGTTCAATACGAAATCTACTCTTCTCTCACAACCACCACCACCACCTCCATCACCACAGTCGGAACCGGAACACAAAGCTCCAGCTCCTCCACCGCCGCCTCCTATGTCAAAAACATCAGAAAATAGAGAGTTTTGTCAATGTCCTAAACTGCAATCTACAAATGGAGACAATGCTCCTTCGATGCCGGCCCCTCCTGCGCCACCGGGAAGCGGAAGATCATTAAAGAAAGCAACTAGCAAATTAAGAAGATCAGCACAAATCGCAAATCTCTATTGGGTTCTCAAAGGGAAGCTTGAAGGCCGTGGCGTAGAAGGGAAAACAACAAAAGCAAGTAAAGGGAAAAAGAATGTTGCAGAGAAATCTCCTGTTAAAGGTGCAAGATCAGGAATGGCTGATGCACTTGCAGAGATGACAAAGAGGTAAATGACTTGCATCACAAGTTAAGTCTATATGTCTGAGTTCGACTAAGTCTTTCATTTGTGTCATAGGTCGAGTTATTTCCAGCAAATCGAAGAAGATGTTCAGAAATACGCTAAATCGATCGAAGAACTGAAATCTTCTATACATAGTTTCCAGACAAAAGACATGAAAGAATTGCTTGAATTTCATAGCAAAGTGGAATCTGTTCTTGAGAAACTAACTGATGAAACTCAAGTATGTTTTCTCCTTGTGTTTTTAAATCGACTCACTATTTCTCTCGAAATATGAAACTATCGTTTGATTGTTTAGGTTCTCGCGAGGTTTGAAGGTTTCCCTGAGAAGAAACTAGAAGTAATAAGAACAGCTGGTGCCTTGTACAAGAAGTTAGATGGGATTCTAGTTGAGCTCAAGAACTGGAAGATTGAGCCTCCATTAAACGATCTTCTCGATAAGATAGAGCGTTACTTCAACAAATTTAAAGGAGAGATTGAAACGGTTGAGCGAACAAAAGACGAAGACGCTAAAATGTTTCAGAGGCACAACATTAACATCGATTTCCAAGTTCTTGTTCAAGTCAAAGAAACTATGGTTGATGTTTCATCAAATTGCATGGAGTTAGCACTAAAGGTATATTATACACATAAATCAAGAAATTGATTCTTGGCGTTGAAAGACTTAACTCTTTATGTTTTCTAGGAGAGGAGAGAAGCGAACGAGGAAGCGAAGAACAGTGAAGAAAGCAAGATGAGTAATATGAAGGAAGAGAGAGCTAAGAGGCTATGGAGGGCTTTTCAGTTTGCTTTCAAAGTTTATACATTTGCAGGAGGTCACGACGAACGAGCAGATTGTTTAACAAGACAACTTGCACATGAGATTCAAACAGAACCTGATCAAACCGAATCATCGATCATGTCTTGAAAACCAGAAAAAAGCTTCATCACATGTTTTACTCAATGAAACCAAGAAGAGATTGATGCTAGAAGATGGTTTACAATACTTCATTTTTGTGTGTCTCTAGTTTTGATTTTGGACCAATGCAAAGAGACAAAAACCATTTTTTTCATTTCATATATATATATTTACAATTTTACATGACAAAGAAGCAATCAAGCAAATGATCTTAAGAAACGAAAAAGTCAACGTAGAGACCATCTTAGAGAAGAGAAGTTTCAAAAGAATCCATCAAAGTCAACGACAGACTCTTCTTCAAGAACATTATCTTCCATGATCTTGTCGTTATTATCTTTATGATCCTCTCTTTCTGTATCTTCTTCGATCATATCAGTGTCTTCTTCTTCTTCTTCTTCTTCTTCTTCTAGAGGTTCTTGAGAGAAGGCTAATTTTTTTACTTCCCTTTCATCTTCGGTCTTAATATTCGTATCTGTCAATACCAAATCATTGTGATCGATGTATTGGAGTCAAATTTATCAGACAAAGCATATCACTAAATTTGAGTTGATGGGTTTTGTATATAGAACAACTTACTTATCTTTCTCTTTCCTAAAGAAGTATCTTCTTCATCTTCTTCGGATTGAAAAAGATTATGTACTTGTGGGATCTCTTCTTTGTTTACTTCCATGAGAGAAAAGCTTGAGAGTTCACAGGAAAACATAATCATGTTGTCTTTTGACATTTCGAGACGAACATATCTCTTAGCACATAAAAACAAAAGCCTAGTGGATATGTCCAATAACGAACTCTAGTTATGAAGTATAAACAATAGAACCTTTGTTTAAAGGACTTTCAAATTACTAAAATATCCCGGTCTATAGTAGACCATGATTAATATCTATTCTATGCGTGATAGTTATTTGCAATTACTTAAATTTTTAAGAAATTAGTAATTTGCTGACAAAAACAGTTCATGCTCATCTTATTAATAATTCAATGGAAAATCGAGCAAAAGCATTCCAAACTTTGCTTCGAGCAATGGCTATATACATAGAGAAAGTTCATGCTCATCTTACTAGACTTGGTAAGAAATTTGATTCTACCTTATTAAATCTCTCAAGAAGGTTCCCATGCATACTCATGACGAAATCAATTCTTCTTCTCTGCTAAAAGTTCAGAATTTGAAGTCTTTCTTCTTCTTACCTTCTTTATCGTGAGTTTTCCGCCTCCTCTTCAATTCATTCTGTAATCATAAATCGAAAGTGTTATGAAATCTCCAAAATACTATCAATCGTTACTGTTTTTTCTTTCTTTGGGAGTTTTTCAAAAGCTTGTACAACAGTACCTCTGCAACCATGTCACTGAAGCTCTCTGGCTTATTCCGCAATTTCTCTTCTTCCCTTGCCTCCTCGTATCTTCAAAAATCACAATGTTAAAAGTTTGTTTTTACAACTCCAGATAATTAATCGAATTCACAGTTAAAAGAAAACAAATAACCAACTGTTTTACTACTTACCTGGCAGGTAAAACATTGTCCATAGCTTCTAACTCTTCTGGCTGTAAACTCACCTCCACTCGGTCTGTCTTTTGTCCTCTCAGCAAATCAACCTGTTTTCCACAACACCATAAATCGTCACTTATCAATTGTAATAACACCAAATTAAGGTTCTATAAAACACGAAACAACAAATCTCCAACTCCCTATCCATATACTTAAGCTAGAGAGTATATGCATATTACAACAACAATACCAACAACATTAATAAACATTCTTTCCCCTAAATCCTCGCCTCTTATTGCCATCTAATACTTCAATTACTATTTCCATTTGGTATATGGTCAAGGCGAGAAGCTAGACTAGCTACCCAATTTATACTTACAGGACATCAATTACAATTACGCCACAGATTGCTTACCCTTTTGGCTCCTGTCTTCTCTTGGGTACCAGTTCTAATGACATATGTATGAGTGGTTCCCAGTACTGTTCCAGGGGCAACATTTTCACTCTTTTCTTCAAGTACCTTCAGAACCAAAAAAAAAAAAAAGATACCATGGTGAAACATCTTCCAGTATCAAAATCAATAACGATCTCTAAAGATAATGTGAAACTGCGAGACTTATAAATAAGGTTTTGCACCTGATAAAGAGGCCTGTCAGGCTCCTTTCGCTGCTCCTTACGAACCTCTATAGCATCAGGTGTCTCAATGCCAGTAGGAGTGCTGAACAGAAGGAAAAAGATCAAACAATAAATACAGAGAAAAACTCGTCAAATATATATATATACCACAAACTCAAAATCCTGTACCTTGACAGTGTAGACTCAATGCCATCTTCCATTTCATCGTCATCCATCTCTTCTTCTTGTTCCTCTTCCTCCTCCTCTTCTTCTTCTTCCTCTTCCTTCAAATCACCCCAGAGTTTGCTCTTGTCGATAGGCTCTTCCTAAGTTATTGACAAAATAACAATTCATCATATGTAGCTTACGGAGTTATGGTTCAGCAAGAACCTTACAATTTCTAATTCACTTGATTACTACCACACCAACTATCTATATGGATAGGTAGCTTCCACATACAATATTTAAACCCTACACGACTGGGGCATAATATGCAGTTATTAAAGCAAAACGAAAATGGTTTACCTCATATCTAGGCTGATGTTGCTGCTGAATACCAAAGACATCTCCATACAATGGACGCCCGTGCTGTATAAGAGAAACAATAAAAAATTTACAAATGAAAATAGTAGTAATTTCATAAATGGACCAAGTACTGTGAACACAGTTGAAAGACTTACTTCATCAATTGGAGGTTTCCCCCAGCCATCAATAGGAGCATTTAAACCAGGAATTTTCAGATGTGGGTAGGACGGAGGCGGACCATATCTCTGTTCAATACGTGTTATAATCAATAAACTTCTCCACAGTAATCAGAATCACCAAGGATATAAATCATAATAAACTCACCTGCATATTAATTAGCCATGGGGGAGGAGCAGCTTCAGGCATACCAAGAGCTTCTTTTAGGTCATGTGACAAAGTTCCTGGTTTCGTTTCCCTCAGCTTAACCTATCAACCAGATGATAATTGGATTCATGCAAAGCAATAAAGCCAAATCATATAATATCCGAAGAAATACAAAAGAGGTCACAAAAAAACTACCTCGAATCCTTTCCCTTCAAAATACAGTTCACCAAGAGATGTCAGCTTAGGCTTTGTTTGGTACTTAAAGAAGGCATCATGAAGGACCTGAGAAGGTATGGAATAACATCACTTATCAGTTAAAGAAAGAACATGTGAACATGTCTCCGTCAATCACCACAAAACAGAGATCTAATCGAGGAAAACCTGATAGTCAGTGTCCATCTATCCCATCTTTGGTTGCATACGCTCACGTTGCTTTTGCTTTAATTTCTTACCATCTTCTTTCTCAATGTAAGCCTGCATATGAAACACAAACAAGAATTAGCTCTGCCAGTAGAGGATATTAACAACTTTTTCTTAACCAGATCCAACTAATAGGACGATGGGCATGGATTAAAATTTGAAGATTATAGTGCTCTCATGAAGGACGGTAAGAACGGCAACATAATGTGTATATATATCACTCAAAACCACAATCAAATGAACAGTGTCAGATAATTAGTGGTGCTATTAAGATCAGTGATCTTTGTATCTTAGAAAGGTAAAAAAGGATGACACTGCCTATCATATACATATGTTCTGACACTGATTCTGCTTAATAGCACGTTTTACTAAATACTTCAATGGTTTTTTTCTCTGGCATTAAGAACTAAACACTTTTTACAGAAAATATGAACAGGTCAATAGACTAGTTAAATCAAATTGTTCATTAGAAGATACCTGTCTTATTTTCTCTATTCCGGTTGCAGCAATAAAATCAGGAAGGTGAAACGGCTGCTTCTCAATACCCCGCTTCCCCTGCATACACGGAACCTCGTTGAGATGTCAGTAAGTTAAAAAAAGAGCAGCTAACACAAAGAAACTTGACTGAATACTAAGATTTAAGAAAACCCAAATGAAACGAAAAGTAAAACAGCAAAGAATAAACCAAAAAAAAAAAAAAACAGGCTCCAGATGTGAAAAATCCTGCCTAAACTACAATACAGAAACACCCAAGAAAAGCACAATAACAGTCTCAGACACCACATAATTAATAGATAGAAAAAAATAATCAAGACTCCTCTTCAGAAACACCTACAAGTCCAGGCTTCATGGTTATCACAGATGTTCCCCTGTAAGAAGCACATATATACGTATAAGGAAGAGCTTAAATGACATCATGAAATCTATCACTTTTGATTTAATCCTATGTGCTATACACCCACAATACCACAGACACATTGTTAATTACAGCATCAATTTAAGAGATACCTGCAAATATTTTCTGTTTTGAGACCAATGTCTTGGCACAGGAACTGTATTCCTATAAGATTTCAAAAACACCAACAACTTTGGATCTGCTGAAGTAGCATCCCAGACCTAAATGTTATAAGAGCACAGCAGTTAGATTAAAATAAAAATGGGAGCTACACGAGAAGTAAGGATTTACAGGGTATAAAACACTCCCATACCTCGACCACATCAGGCCTAGCAGAAACCTGCTTCAGCTCAGCAATATTCATCCTCCGTCGAAGCTGAGAAAACAATTTTTAAGATTTTAATCACCTAAAAAGGTAGTAGCAGACGAGAACAAAGAAGATAATTCAGTGTACTATAGTTTATAGCAGTAGTAATTTCATGACAAACAAACCTTCATCTTCTTAATAGCGATGCATTTCTCCTTCTGCTGGTTATCTGAATCCGAATTAAGCTTCTTTTTCACATCTGTCTTTTCCTCAGACTCATCCTTCTTACCGTCCTCCTAGCAAAAACAATGTCTTTAAGGTCAAAGATCGACCATGTTTAAGGTCATCATCAGGAATCAAAATAGTCATACCTCAGAGTCGAGTCAACAGATTCACGAAAGTTAAACTTGTCAAAGATTTTCCTAAGTTCATCGTCGAAACCATCTTCAAATTCTAGTTGTTCTGGAACATACTCCACCACAATCTCCTCTGAAAACTACGGAAAAAAAGCAATCGACAAAAGAAAATTCAAGCGTAAAACTACAGAGACAATGGTACAAGAAAAAAAAAACCCTAGAAATCTCCAGGACCGTGAACAGAGAGAGCGAAATCAAAACAAAAAACTTACCTGTTTCTGCGGATCCACATTCTCCTTAGAGTCCGAAGCACCAGAAACGTTCCCTTCTTCTACATCGACCTCGGATCCTTTCTTGTTCTTCTTTGATGAAACGGTAACGTTAGTGTTCGAGAAAGTATCGCCGTTTGGAGCAACGCCATTATCAACGGTTTCGACTGACGACTGTCATGTTCGCCGGAGTGATGGGAAAGAGAGAAATAGCAAAGTGAATCAACAAAAATACTTAAATATACACAAAATTCGACGCCTGATAATCGCTCCTCGGTTTGGTTCGGTTAAGTTCGGTCCGGTTCAAAGATTGCTGTTGACTATTGTCAACGTTATCACTTTTTCAGGGTTGTCAAAGTTTTTTTTTTTTTTGTCAAAGTTCAAACCATTCTTGATTCAATATTTGTGATATGATTTCTACAAAGCTTTTCTATCGTGATTTTGCCCACTAACTTGCTTACAATGCTTTGTAATCACGAGACTCTTGAATTAAACAATAAATCTGAATCAAAACATCGACAAGCGATTTGAGAAACTCTTAAGAAAAAAAAAGTGAGACATCAAAAGATCTCTCTCCACAAGCAAACTATGTGCGTAAGAGTTAAAGCAAGAGTCTTCTAACAAATGCATGAGTCAAAACTGTACAAGACACAAACAACCGGTGCAGTGTGAAGCATACCGTCATTATTAGGCTCCGTCATATTACCATCTCTCAACAAATCAAGAACCCTGAAATATGACAGAATTCTGTATTAATCGTGTATGGTCTTGACAAATAAAATCAGTAACCAAAGCAAATGAAGATAGATACATACCTATGTTTATAAACACGCCAAACCAAGGTCAAATAATCAACTCCAAAATGCCCACCACCGTGAGGAAAAGCCGGGCTATCGTAAGTTCGTAACCTGGTGCAGTGCCACAAAACGGTGGAGGAGGATATTAAACCAGGCTACCGTAAGCTACGAGAAAAGGATATCGTCCAACCTTCTCAGACCAGTTAATTTTCAACAAATTTAAGAACCCTGCAAATATGATGAAATCAATCTTATTAATGGATGTACTTGAGAGTAATCAGTAACATATAATAAAGATCTGATCCATACCCAATATTTGCTTCAAGTGGATTTTTTGCCAGCGAGAATGATAGAAATCTGTAACCCTCTGCTAAAAGCTTCATTGAACAAAATCCGTGTTTGCATATTCTGAAAACCGGGCAACCATGAAAGCAATGCAACTGGAGCCATAACTATCAGCCCAAAGAAAAGGTCGTAAAAGCGAGCAACAGAGATTACTGTGTCCCAAACCACTGTTGATAACAGAAACGGTTTCAGTACTTGAGCTATGGAAATCAATCCCCAGCCTGTGGGAACAAAAGCCAGGAGACTTATCAACAAATCAACAACTGTAAGTTTAGTGAACTGCAGCATCATCACGACCACAAGAACCGTAAGGACAATTACTAAGAACTGAATGAATCGATATTTAATATGCTCCTTGACAGAATATCTTTTCTGAGCATAGATTGTTGTGATGTATATCGCAGTAATCCCGATGATGCATCCCCAAGAAACCAAGTATACACCAATGCTGGTCCGATTCTCTGCAATGCGAAGATGGTACACAATACTGTACTGGAAAAAGAAGAACCGAAGATCAAGTATAATCTCAAGCAGTTTTCCCCACACTCCGGTTGTTTTCAGATGCTCTTGTTCCTCATTCCACCACGTAAACCAACTCTGATCTGCTTTTGTAAACAACCCGCCTCTAGACCATAGCCATGCAATGAAATCGTCAAAATCATTCACTGTTTTAAGCCAATCGAAACCAGAAGGGTTAAACAGAAATGGAGAAATAATCCAAGATGTAATAAGGAACCAGCTCGAAATCGTCATCAGTATGTAAACAATTGAACTCTTAGCCAACGGGCTATAAGCTGCATATACCAACAGAATAATCGCAAGCTCGATAGCCTTGATGAAATGAGTTCGAGCATACAATCTGTAGTTCTCAGCAAATTTCTTATGCTCCACCACGAACCCTCTTCCAGTGGCACGATACTTGGCTCCACCATGGAGTATAGTCCGACCAAAGTAATGGGTTCGAGTTCCCAGGGAAAACGTGTAGAAAAACGATGCAAGTTGCAGCTGCATTGTTATGAAGTCCCAAATAGCTGGAAGAAACCCACGCTCCAGTGAATTTTCAAGAATCATTGGAAGTGCAGTGAAAAGTCCTAGCTGAATAATAAATTGCTGATTCAAGATTGCACCAAGAGCTTCATTGCTGCTACTCCTATCCTTTGCTATTTTCTCAACACCACTAAGTGCTAGGTAAAGCCGACCCCACAGGAATGCATAAACAGTAAATACTATCAACATTGTGTTGAAGTAGTAGCCAACCGTTGTGTAGAAGAAAGAGAGCATTCTAAAAAAGTCCAGCCTGTGACCTAACCTGTAAACGTCTCTGCTCAATGCTTGCTCACCATTACCACTAGCTACCTTGGCTTCAAACATAGAGATCTGATTCAAACCCACATCCCTTCCTTTGCCTACCTGAATGTATTCATGGTGTGTCACGTTCCCACCTCTTAAAGTGCAATTGAATCCAGCAAATATATCCTCACTGATATTTATAACTCTTGAGGCCTTGCTAATTCCACCACGGGGCACAAACCAAAACCGATCAAATACATCCGGATGACCATAATGCATCCTCACTTTCAGTGGGTTGGCAAGAACACGCTGTCCTAAGGTTACAAAACTTGTTTCCTGAGCAGACATGAACCATGCGAGTGAAGAAACTGAACCAGTGAAAACTTTCTCACGGACTCCAAGAATAGTAGGCTTCCTAATGCCATAGTAAGTCTTGAATGATTCCAACAAGTTCCTCATCTTAAGAGCCTCCTCAAAATGGTTATCTTGATTCATATCAATGGTCTGTATCGCATCTCCTCGTGTAAAGATTAGAGCATGGTTTTGGTTTTCTGGTTTTCCCTCGCCAAGCTTCAAGGGGCCTGGCAGTCTGATACGATAGATCTCCACCTCTCTTTGAAGTTGTTGATCAAATTTCACAAGAACCGAGTAGTACTCGACCTCCCTTCCCAAGTCGACCTCATCAACATATGCAATACGAAGGGCCTCATGATTTTTCATCAGGAACAGAATCTCCTCAGCTCTATGGTCCCCTCTTGCTTTATGTTGTCCATAAACTTGGCACGCCACAACATATGTGAATTTCATCATTGCACTCCCATACTCAGACCCTTTAAGCAAATGGGTTATACCACTAGCCATTCTGCTAATTTCCTGAGAAGGTGTTGGCTGCAGTGTGTTATCCCCACCATCATTTGTGTAGTAAGAACGGCGTGGCTCAGGAGCAATCTGAGTTCCCATCCTGATGTCCATTTCAGAAGCAGAATCAAGAAAGGCAAGTTTCTTCAAGGCACTATAATAATACATCATCCCTCGCACTGTTCTGGACAATGTCTGTCCCCTATATGAAGCCCAGAGGCGAAGATCTCTAACCTTCTTTGACCATATGTCATTCTCATTCTCTGCTCCCTCTCTACGCATCCGCTCCACAAAATTCACCCATTCATCTTCATAAATTCTTTGAAGGTAGAATAGGGTGGAAATTCCATCCTCATTCTCAGCTCGGAGCATTTCTTGTCGATACATCACTTCTTCATCATAGTAAGGAGTCAACACGCTGAAAGCCATCATCTTTTCTACACTGGGAGCCTGGGGCATGGTCATAAAAAGAGAGTTGCTAAAGAAAGCAAGACGCTCTCTGGCCTCAATATTCTTGGGCACATTATGCATTGGATCTCTAGAAGTAAGAATTGTATGGACCCGCCGTATCTGCCTATAAAAGACAACATCATCAAGAGGTGGGAGATTAATGGCATTGACAAACAGCAATTCAGTATCTGCATCCAAACTAATGGGCGCCAAGCCAAGCTGCCTTAACTGCGGAGTGCTCCTCCTAGTTTTTGGAAATTCCCATGCACAGAGTTCATACAGAGCTTGCAGTATATTCACGATCCTGAATACTTTCTTTTCTGGGTCCATCAGACGCTCAAGAAGTGATATTAGCTTTTCATGAATCCGGAGTAGTACTGTCAGCTTATATACTTCAGTTACCTTTTCGTTTTCCACATTTTCCTCAATCTCCATAAACAACCTGTTCAGTATGGATTCTTCCTCTGTGCCATTTTTAACAATTCTCAGAATAACAAATTTGATGCTATCAAAAGCTTCCATAACAGCACAACGCCTGTACTCACTGCTACAGATTTTCGACCAAAGCCAGTGATCAGGAGCGTCACAGAGCTCATTTGCCTGACTTAGCGCAAGTAGGAGCTCATTGCAAAGGAGGAAACACGGCCAACGGATAACCCGAATATTCCAACAATTAGGCGGCAACTCGAGTAGCTCAACCTCCCTATCATTGATAAGGTCTTCCTCCCTAAATGTGAGGATTATCTCATTCCAAATCAGGGCAAACCAAGTTGCTTCAACCTGACTGGATTCGATCTTGTTGAAAGGCTGACCAATTCCATATCGCAATTTTAGCCTGTGTATAGCATCACGAGCCTTCTTAAGCATTGTTGCTTTAGGACTCAGGAGATGCTCTTCAGGTTTAAGATTAAACTGCATAGCACTTGAAAAAAACTGAAATCGAAGTCTCAATTGATCAATGTTCCGGATCTCCCCCAAGTGAGAAAACAGACCAATTGTTGCACCTACAAAGGATGAGTAGATCGAGTACCAAATTTGCAAATCCATCAGGTAAATCAAAATAACAGGGAGCCAGAGCATCCCTACTGCTATCCTGTGAGTGCTACCAAAAAACTCATGCCAATTGTACGTCGCATTCTTAAGGTTCAGTAGTGCCCTGGTCGGAGCAATTAGAGGCCTAATTTGTAAGTAGTAACTAAATATGAATTTAGTGGCCAATACAATAATCCAAAAGATTGTATACTTAACATTGTCCACTAGGCCTTCCCTCATCCCACGACCAACAAAAGTCTTGCTATAAAACCACCATGTCAGAAAGTACACAACTCCAAGATTCAGCTCCTCGACCCAGTTCCTTATCCAAGGAACAATAAAGAGTACAAGGGCTAATAACTCAGGTATAACATACACGAAAACTACCTTGAGAAACGTGACAATCCTCTCGTTTGCAGCTCGAGACCATAAACCATCCTTATTTTTCTGGCTCCAAATCCTTGCATAGAAGACCGAAAACAAAACTGTCCATGCCACAGCCACCACGAACTTCAAAACCAATCTGATGAAAAGCCAGTAAGTTTCTCTGCTCACCAAACTGTACTGAGTACTAGCATCGAGCACAGACTGGAGCAACCTCAAGCCCGCCCAGGAGATGAAAACAGTCAACAATGCAACCTGCAAGTAGAAAAAACAGATAGTCTCTTTTATATACCAACACACACAACTCAACACTCTTATATGGTATATAGATTTAAACAAAGGAGAAGCTTTTAGACCTCTACATCACGGTCTTGCCAAGGAAACTGAACATCACTAGTAGCAACAATGATAGCTGCCTGCAAGTAGAGAAGCAATAAAATCCATAACCGATCAAAACTTCGATATACATTCCAGAATGATCTCTGCTCCACAAATCCAGTCTTCCCCACTCTACTGCTTTTAGGTGTAGTATCAAAGAAATTACTGGTGTAGTCAAGAGGCCATTTAAGGCTCTTCAAGGCTCTCTTACTCCAGAAATACTCATTAATGTCGTCGTAATTTCTCCAAGCAGAGTGTGGCTTCGTCCCATTGTTACTACTCTCAACCTCCGTCTTAATCGTCTTGTAAATAGGCATGACCACGCTCTTGAGGAAAGCACAATCACCGGAGAATGAAGGCCAGTAAGGCATTCCGGTCATATCATCAAACTCTCCACCGAGAACTTTATTGAGTTCCATAGCCATGTGATGAAAAATGTAACACAGACACTCAGGCATGAACCGAAGATTCGCAGATTCTCCCCAAATCAATAGATAGAGAGCAACATAGAGAAGCTCACGGCGGAGGTTCAAAACGGCGTTCGTTTGATGACGGCTTTGGGTAGGGCTGGTGACGTGGCACCTCACTCCGAGGAAGGAGCACCAATTTGTATAATTACGAAGCAGCTTCTTCCGAAATCGCCGGAGAACAGTGGGATCGAGACCGTCGGGATGACGTGGCGGAGGTTGAAGCCGCATTTGAGAGTTAGCTAAGTGGAGGACGAGATTCTCTCGCTGATTCCGAACGTTATCGATTTGAAAACCAAAGAGAAGACCAAGCCAGTCCATCAAGTCCATGCGTGGTGTGAAATCAGCAAACGGAGGTTTCGGAAGATCTCCGACTATTCTAAGCGCCGCCGCCGCCGCTCGAACCTCCGGATAACGCAGCGACGGGTGTTCCGTTAGGAAATCATGAATCGGAATGATATTGTATACCTCCAGAGACGGCGCATCACGCGCGGTGGCTACCGATTGCCGCTGCCTTCTCATCGCCGGCTAACGGTTTCTTTACTTAGAATCTTTTTCAAAATTATTTCATCTTTTTTTTTCTCTCTTTTTCTTCTCTTTTCTTTTAAGTTTCAAAGACAGTGACGAAACGAAACTGTGCATAGAGATAATTATGATATTACCTAAAAAATTAAAAGAGAGATAACGATGTGTGTCTCGTCGTACAATAATACATGCTCCTTGAGCTAATGCCCGTTCGATTGATTTTAGGCTTTGATCAAAGATGTGATCCGACGGTAGATATTAAGTAAACGGAGCGTCCACGAAAGGGAGACGTGTAGGGTTAGTGTAGTAATGAGACACGTGCGAGTACACTCGTGTCAGAAACTCGAGAGAATCTCTGAAATCGAGAGAGAAACAAGACAAGGTAGCATTATATCCGTTATAGTATTATGCGTGGGTAGATCTAAAAACGGCAACGTTTTAATAAATTGGTCAAACGACGCCGCATTAACTAGGATTTAGGATGAACTGAAAAAGGCATTATTATCTTTTTAACTAGTGATGGTGTGTTTATAATGAAAGTGATGGCACTTTCGTGTTTGTATCTTTTAATCTTTTAGATAATCACAATAATTAGAACGTAATGAACAAAAACTCTTTTGCTAAACTCACGGTATGGTGACATTTTGAATTCTTCACAATCGAATCAAAAAATGTTTGAGGAAAACAAATAAGAATCACGTTCTTAGTTGGATTTTGACACTCCAAATAAAGATAACTTTTTAGGACACCGCAACATCGAATCTTTGTGTCGTTTGATTTGTCTTGTTTTGTGAAGGACTATCTTTAAAACACTACTATAAGATTCAAGAACATAACTTTATGCTTTTCCCAAAGATGAAAAGCTTTTTAAATATACCTTTCTGGCAACCATATGCAATTATGCATTATAGTAATGATTGATTACGTGGGACTCGTGACAATTAGGGATTTTTTATATATAATGTGGTTATATTAATATGCAAATTAGACCATGTCAGAATGTTTGTTTTCTTACAACAAAAACTATACAAAATTTTGAATAATATTTGTTATGGACTCAAGAAGCTTAATTGAGTCATTTTCAACTCTATCACCTTAGTTTCAAATTTGGATCCGATAGCATAGGACCAAAACATCACTCTACCGGTTTAACCTAACCGCATCTAGTTATAAATCTTATTTTAGTAAAAATGTTTTATAGATATCTTTTTTTTCATCAAACATACTGTACTTAATTTTATTTTCAATACTTAAGAACATCAAAACATGTTTCTCATGTTCAATACTTACGAACATAAATCCTATCTTAGTAAAAATGTTTTATAGTAATCTTATCTGTTTACTTTATTAGTATTACTAGGACTTAGGACCCCCGCGATGTCGCGGGGAATATATTTCAAAAATCATTAAAAAAAATATCAGACGAAAAAATCATAATGAATTGTAATAATTTTGATTTTTTTAATAACAAATCAATATATATTTTACTAAAAATTATGATGAAGAAAACCCTCACAAGCATTTATTAAGTATACAGTAAAACCTCTATAAATTAATACTCTATAAATTAATAACCTCTTTAAATTAATAAATTCTTCCGGTCCCGGGTTGGGACCAGTGTAAAATATGACATAAATCGATAAATTAATAAGATAATAACTTTTTTGAAAATTCTATGTAAATATATGGTCCCATCTATATCATAAATTAATAATTGTATAAACTTATCAATACATATATGTATATTTAACTTAATATATATATGATATAAATTTATATATTTCATATATGAATTACTATGATATATATTTAAAATATTATATGTAAAATATTTAATGAAATGTGACTTTATTATTCGAAAAAAGTTTGTGTTGATTTTTAAACTTAATAATTACTTCTGTACTTGTAATTGGTTTTAAAAATATATTTCTTATAAAGAAAAAAATTATTTTAAGATATAAATTTTTTAAAAAATTACAAAATTAGTAAAATCTCTCTATAAATTAATAATTATTAATTTATCGATAAAATAATACCTCTCTAAATTAATAAAATTATTTGGTCCCAACATTATTAATTTATAGAGGTTTTACTGTATTAATATTAGAAAAACAATAATTTGTAACTAAAAAACTATTCCCAAGTGCAAAAAGCATAAACTAATAAACCAAATATTACAATGGTTTGATAAATAAGCCAAAACGTTCAACGTCAAATAAACCAAATGCTATTGTGTTAAATTAAACGGTAACAACAATTCATTTAAATATATTTTAGTATTTAAATATTTTTTAAAAATATGACGAACTTATCCGAGAAACGCAACCGTAGATATCAAATATTCCAAAAACTGCAACGGTTCGTCAATTATACCAAATGTTGCAATAGTTCATCAAATATACTAAAGATAACAATGGTTCGTAACACAAAACCAAAAGTTGCAATAATTCGTCAAATAATCCAAATGTTGAAACAGTTCAATTAAATAGTTACAATCTCATTTTACATTTTAGTAATTAAAAATTAAGAATTAAAATAATAATTTATGAAAAGTTACACCGAGAGAAGCGGCGGTAGATAATTAAATGTTATAGCTATTTATAAAATAAACCAAAAATTGCAATTGTTCGTGAAATAAACTAAATATATAAACCAAATGTTGCAATTGTTCGTAAAATAAACTAAATATTGCAATGATTCGAATAAGCGGTTTCAACTGTTTATGAAGAGTTACAATAAAAAACGCAACCGTAGAAAACATTCAGAATGCAATTTATAAAAAAACATAACCGTAAAATATATATTTTAATTAATAAAAACATTAACGAAAAGTTACGATAAAAAGACGCAACCGTTCAGATGTGCAAATGGTATTTATTAGATTGATATTATATATAGATTATTTACTTTATGGTATGTTGATTTCTATTAAGTATTTCTCTTAAAATATAAATAAATTGATAACAAATTTTCACAAAAAAAAAAAACTCTAACAATACATGTATAATGAAATGCGTTTACAAAACCGTATATGTACAAAACAAGAAACAAAGTAAAGCCACAAAAATAACTACATTCTTGAGGTTCCTTAAGCCTTTTTTGTTCATCATGATCACCTCCCTTCTAAAATCGAGCTGTTCCAAGACGAAAGAGACACAGACAAAGACTGAAGTCTAATCTGTTCTATCGTTGGATGTGATGAGCTTCCATACCAAAACTCTCGCGAGATTCCCCGAGATCCCATCTTCTTCAACATCCATGATTCAACATCTTCACTACTGTCCGCTTCAAATATCTCAGCTTTGTCACCTTCAAACACTTGAACCACTTGTCTCATCGACGGTCTTTTGGCCGGATCAGGATGTGCGCAAAGCAATCCAAGCTGCAAAACTCTTTCGGCTTCGTCAATAGCTTGTGTTATGGCTTTTGTCATCATCATCTGTGGATCGAGCCCATTTAGAATCTCACCTCTTTCCATTAATCCCCAAACCCAATCCATTAACGGTTTCTTCCCTTCTTCAATAGGTCTTCTCCCACACATTACTTCAAGAACCAGTATCCCGTAAGCAAAAACATCGGTTTGTGTCGATGCACGCCCCGTCTTGACCACTTCAGGAGCCAAATACCCGGCTGTACCAACAACCCTCGTGGTCCTAACCGCTTGTTCGTGTCCATGAACCCGAGCTAACCCAAAATCACTAAGCCTTGGTATCATATCTCGGTCAAGCAACACATTGCTCGCTTTAATGTCTCTATGTAAAACCTTAGATTCCCATCCTTCATGCAAATACAATATTCCTGAAGCCACACCTTTCAAAATCCGAATCCTCTCTTCACAGCTAAGCGTAGTTTTCTTCTGATCGTTTTCGAATATCCATCGGTCTAAACTTCCATTCTCCATGTAATCATATATCAGCATGAAACTACCCACCTCCTTCTTACACCAACCTCTTAAAGAAACTAAATTCCGGTGCTTTAACCGCCCAAGACTCGATATCTCAGAAACAAACTCTCTCATTCCGTCGCTACTCTCCTGCGAAATCCGCTTAACCGCAACTTCCACAGCCCCTCCTTGTAACAAACCTTTATACACTTTTCCATTCCCACCAATCCCAATCACATTCTTCTCATCAAACCCCTTAGTCCCGGATTCAATCTCCTCATACGGAATCCGATGAGGCCAATACTCCATTTCCCAATCCTCCATCAACGCTCTCTTCCTCGCCCTCTCCAATCTCTTTCTCACCACAGCAAACAAAACCAAACCCACAACCGCAACAACCAAGAAACAGATCAATGCCAACACAAAAACAAACCATTTCGCTTTAAGAATCGAGTCTTTAGGCAGAACAAACGAAGGCAAACCAGTAGTGATCAAACTATCACTCAACGAGAAATTCGAATTACTAAAACTCCAAGCTAAAATCTTATGACTCTGTACCAATCTCCCTGTAGCTGCAGTGAATCCAACAAACATCTCATCTTCCACAACACCAGAGAGATTCAAAGACGTACTAAGCAAAGGAGTCTTAGGTCTAATCTTACCAGCAACTTGCATAGTAACATTAACTATCAAATCTCTATAATCAATCCAAACTTGATAATTTCTTCCATCATTAAGCTTCAATGGCTTAAACACTCCATCATCAGACCAATAACCAGATGTGTTCGAATATACTGAATGAAGTGAATTAACATCGATTCCGACATGATTAGCATCGATGTCACTGAATTCTTGATTAGCAAAAACATCAAACTCAACTCCAAAGATGTGATTACTAGGGTTACCATTGTTAGTCAAATTGAAGAGACCTAAGTGTTGAGCAGAGCTAGAACCGTTGATTCCAGTAGTGGGTGCGAAGAGGAAGACGATTCCGTGACCAGGAAGCGTGTTCTTGAAAGGAGCCATGGTGAAGATGAAAGAAGTAGAGAAAGGTAAAACAGAGGAAGTGATTAGATCTTTTGTCCGGATGATTTTGCTGTATAGAGCACGACCAGTAGCAAACGATGTTTGGTTTGTTAAAGTTAGGATTTTGGATTCGATTGTTGCGATCCCGAAGAGGGAGATATTAGATGAAGAGTCATTGAAGCCGTTGAAGACGAAATCAATGGCTGAAATTGGATTTGGAAGGATGAGGAAAAGGGTGAGAAGAAAGAGAAGAGCTTTCATGGTAGAGGAAGAAGACGAAGACGAAGAAGAAGCTACGCGTGAGGTTTGTTGTCATAATTTTGGGGATTAAGAGGCAATGAAGACAGTTGTTGAAAGAGAAAGTTGAAAGCTTGAGGCAAAGGTTTGATTTTTTTTTTATTCTCTGTTTACTGTGTTTTTTTGTCAAAGTTTGTGACTTTTTGGGATTTGAGTTTGTACTTTGGACTTTTGTAGTTTTGGTCTCTCGTCACATATACGTATTAATGAGTTAATAATACAGAGGGAAGCGTGTTATTGTAGTATTAACTATTAACAATAACATCATAGTTCTGGATCAACCTCTCTCTCTCTTTTCACTCTCAAATCTTTTAGAGAGAGAGAGCGACTTGTTCTTCGTTTTGGCCGTCCGGTTTGTATTCCGGCTTCTGTCTGTCAGCTATCGCCTTATATAGCGGTGGTTGGATAGCTTTTCGTCTAGTATCGATCGGTTCTCGCGACGATAGCTAGCTTTAGTTTCTCTCCGGCGTTGTCCCGTTTTCTCTTCTTTTCTTGCTTTCTATCACGGTGCTTTTACCGTTGATTGTTTTTCAGTTTTTCTCTTCGGATCAGTGATGGTGGAGTGGTAGCGGCTTTCGCCCAACAGTCTCTATTCTGGCTCATCCTTTGAGTTTTCGGTTTACGATAATTATCTATGCGCTTTGCGATTTCAGTCGAAGATATGAAGCACTTTCCTCAGCATATTTCAATTGCCTTTAGCTGTTAATTGGTTTTAGAGATTCGATTGGTTTTAATCAACAGTTTCTGGAGTAATTGGATTTTATTCTCTTGTTGAGTTTAATTATTCCGAAGTATCTCCATGTTGCTGTTTTGCTATTGCTGGTGAAAAACAGACGATCTACCGACGATTTAGTTACGACGGTGGTTTCTTCACCGGAAAATCGATATCTCCGATGGCGAAGGATGACGATGGGAATCTTACTTTTGCTCATCTTACACGTGTATAATTACGTGTTTTTGGGTGATCTTTCTTGGTCCAATCTTCTTCTGTAAACAGTGCATAATTGGGCTCTTCTTGGGCTTACTTTTGTTTCGTAATCCCTTTATGTGTGTTGGCTTAGCTTAGCCTTGTAACAATTGGTATATTGAATAAAGTCCACCATTGGGAAAAAAAAAAAAAACTATTAACAATAACATAAGTTACAAATGCTAGTACTAAAAGAATTATTTATCATATTTTGGGGTTTGATAAAGCTTTGAGAAATAATGACATTTGTTTAAAAGCTTTCATGAATAGTTTGATTTTATTATTCTGCAATTACTGTTTTTTTCCAGTCAAACTTTATGACTTTTTGATTGGGTTTGTAATTTGTATCATTTGGTCTCATTGTTGTATTAGTAGTAGTATAGTTTAATACAGAGGGAAGATTTGAGACTTTGAGAGTTTCTTACTAAAGAAAAATATCGATTGCATTGTGTGTAATCAAGACATACGTATATGTATATTACATATTTTAGTATGCGACTTTTTTGGAATAATTGTTGGATGTTAATCAAGACGTGACATATGAATCACCATTTCTTCATATTGATAAAAAAAATATATCTAACCAGTAACCACTCAATTTCCACCACTATATATTTCTTCTTCTTCTAAATATTACTTTGGGAATGATTGGTTACGGCTGTAGCTTTAGATTTTTGGCTGTAGAATTTATGCTGTAGATTTTCCTGCTGTAGCTTTAGGATTTTGGCTGTGACTTTTCAGAAATAAAAGCATGATTGGTAATTCTAGCTGTAGATTTTCAAAAAGAGAAAACATGATTGTGATTGATAAATTTTAACTATGTATTAAATATTAATAGTTCTATATATATATATATATTAAAGATAATACTAAAATACAAATATAAAATTTATAACAATTACAAATTATTTTTCATTAAATTATATATATATATATATATATATATATATATATATATATATATTGAATGCGAATACTAAATTGTATTCAATAAAAATTGGGGAAATTGAAATATACTAAAACTATTGATAATGTGTCAAATAAAAAAATAATTAGTATACATAGAATTATTTATTAGTATATGTCATTTGTATATGTCCAAATTCATTCACCAAATATATCCAAATTGGACATCATTTGAAAGTTACGTACAGATTATAGTACAAAAAGATGAATGAAAGTAATGTGAGAAGTAGTCAAAGATTTTCGAAACTCAAATGAAGCAAATACTTTGAATACTCAAGTAATGTGAGAAGTAGTAATGTGAGAAGTAGTAATGTGAGAAGTAGTCAATAGTAGAAGAAGAATTGGAGTAGTAATTAAACACTGTCAAAACATTTCTATGTGAGAAGTAGTAATGTGAGAAGTAGTCAAGTAAAAAGACGAATACTCATCGAAGATAGTGAAATTACTCCTGAATGAATCTGAACCAAGTAGCAAGAGTTTGAAACCTTTGGCTTGAGTCAGTTGGACTAATCTCAAGTTATGACGTTGGAAATTTTAGATAAGGATCAAATGTGAGTTTGACTAATAGAAAAATCAAAATATGGCAGCTATTTATATCGAGATGCGTTGAATTTTTATAAAAGTCAAGGATCATAATCATATCAAACATGAAAAAATTCCTTTTCATGACCTTCGAATAGTGTGGAGTGTGTGGGTGGACCCAATTTTTAACTTAAATCTATTTTTCACAAACTCAAAATCTAATATGTAAATTCAAACGACGTGAGAGTCGCCATAACATATCGTCTACGTCAAGCGTCTAAAATATTATAAAAGAAATTCCATTGGTCGTATAAGAATTATCATGATGAATTATTGATGTTTCAATGGAGCATAGAAATATTAATTGAAGTCTTACAAAATTTTGAAAAACATTAAATTTAAAGTATTTATGAAAAATACTTTAAATTTAAACATAGAAATATACTAGCCACAAATCAAGTATTCTACTTCTACATGTTTGATTTAAATGAAAAAGAAGAATTGGAGTAGTAATTACAATTATTAATAGTATAGTTGAAAAAAGAATGTTGGAAATATGTCAATATTGGTTGTAGATTAAATTATATACTACATGTGTTTTTAAGATTAGCAAATATTTTAGTTGATGATACGTTATGTTTTACAAAATAACAAATATATTCCAAACACATTTGAAAGAACACCCTATTTATTAATTAAGATTTTACCATCTCATATTTCGCTTAGGCCATCTCCAGTTCATCTCAAAAACTTTACTTAAAGTATGATTTTTTCCAATTCATTTTTATTTTCAACTCTAAAGAGAATTCCAATTTTCAATTTACACTAAAATTTGGAAATATTTGCTTTAAAGTTTAAATTAAATAGGATTAAAGAAAACTCAACTCTAAAATAGAATTTTTATTTTATTTTAATGAAGAAATGGTTTAGAAATGCTCTTACTACTTATGATTATCATCATATATTTATAGCAATCATTTCTGTCTTATTTACAAGATTAAACTGACCATTTAAACTAATTCAAGATAATATATCTACTTAATGCGCTATGTTTCTTCACTTCTTCTTTGTTTTTTTAATCAGACTTTGACGTCTCTGTCTTCTTCTTTTTTTTCTGCTTCTCCGGCGTCTTCTTCATCTTCCGTCTCCTCATTCTCGTCTTCCCCAGAAAGAGCTACGAAATTAAGAGAGATTAAGAGTAAGTAAGGGAAATACATAAGATATTAAGAGATGGATTATCACAATGGAACATAAGGATTTTATACCTCCAAACTTGTTGTGACCGCATCCTCGTAACCGCCATCTCCTGTGATGAATGTGACGTTTTTGGGGGGACGATTAATATCCTCCTCTCTCCAAGCAGCCAATTTCTCTTTCAGCCAATCGTCACTAGCGTCAAGTACCCCTTCCTTTGAAGAAAACACACAAAAGATGACTACTAAGTTACTAAATAAAAGTTAAAACAAAGATGACTACTAAGTTACAGAAAAAAACAGGGAAAAGTTACTAACTTCCTTGAATCCGGTGAAAATTGATACCCTTGAGTACACTTCCATCAATGACTACAGCCCCTTTAGTGAGAACATCATTGGCGCATACCGCATATACGGTTAGAAGACCAGAGAATCCTTCACTTTGCAGACCAGCTTTCATTAGAGGATACATGTTAGCAGGGTCTATGTCATGTGGAACCTGGTTATTCTCCAAATCCCATAACAATATGTTATCTGCATCTAATTGCCTCAAGATTATGGGTGTATTTTCTGAAAGAGAAGTCAGAGGCTTTCAACCACTTTAAGTTGTTTAAGCAGGAGGTTGAAACTGAAACGGTGAAGGCAATCAAATGTCTGAGGACTGATCGAGGAGAGGAGTACGTTTTTGGCAGGAAAAATACATAATTTTCTGCCATAAACTCATAAACCATTTAAATCCAAACTCATTAGATTATGGATTGGTTTGAATCGGTTTATCCATTTTGACACCCCTAAGTAGAGTCAAAATCAATTGTTTTAACAAGAAAATTTCGTACAAGTTATGCAATATCAAAAAATTTAGATATCTATACTTGTGAAAGTGATGATGATGAGTTCAAATCGTAAGCTTGAATTCCAAAAGAAATACATCATAGAGAATAAAAGGAAACACAAGAGCTCTTTACAACTCATAGAAAACTCAAGAACTAGAAGAATATGAAAAAGATCAATCAACTATGTTCATCTCTTTATAAAAAGAGATTTGAACCACTTCTAAACCAAAGATAAAACCACTTAATATGTGCCGTTTTTCTCTCAAATTTTCCATCAAACTCATGAATTTTGTTTTCTTGTTTGTCGTTTTAATCCTCAAAAAAATCGTATAACATAGTAATAATAATCGATATTTGATGAATTTGTTCTTGTTGCTGGTAATCATCATCGGTGATTGTTGAATTTATTCTTCTTGTTCCTCGTTAATTTGTTTTGCTCTTGCTCTGCTTCTTCGTCGACGAAGATGGAGATTTTCTCCAATTCCGATGATGTTTTATTTATATAAAAAACAAATATACTCTTAAACCCCACTCACCCATGTTATCTAATATTAGCCGTTAGATGACTATTCATACTACATGCATTTTCATGCATTTTTAAAATCGGAGTAAAGAAATTTAGGGTTTCAAAACTATATATGATATTTATAGTAAAATTTATAGTTGGTTCAATTGAAATTCAATATGATATTTATACAATTGCAAAAAAACTTACTATTTTTTTTATAAAATAAACATTTTTTGATTAACCCGTGTACAACATGGATTCTGGAAATAAAGGTGAGTTGTTTTGGGCAATTTTGTTTAAGATCATATAATTCACATAATAAATGGACCTCTTATGTTCGTGGGCCTCTAAAATATTTAGATCCGGCCCATTAACCTGAAATTATCTGATTATTAATATCTTCATGTACAACAAATTTTAAAAAATCTATAGAAGAATACAAAATATATACTATTTCAAGTAAGTAGGCGAAAAAAAAAGTAAGGATAAGACAAAATTGGTTGGACTTGAATGCACAAGTGAGAGGAATCTTATCTTGGCATAGTCCAAGTTGTGCTCGATATCTCACGACAACCGTCGATCTTCAGGATTGTTGACACCATCTAACGGCCATCAGAGAGTCCCTGATGGTTCGATAACCGAATCTTTAAGGAATCTTTAATGTTATCATAATCCCTTAGTAGGCCCCGCTTCATAGCCAATAAGAGAGAAGCGTCTCTCCAAATAATCACAGAAGAGATCAAGAGAGATGGAGAGGACTTTGCTTCAATGGAGATTATTGCCTCTTCTCGCTCTCATCGCTGCTCTTTTCTCCGTCTTCTTCGCTTCTCCTCGCTCTTTACAGGTTTTTGATTTGATTTCTCAAAGCCGCCGTCTCTGTAATCTAATTCGCCGGCGAATATGGCGGCTCTGTTTTACTGATTCCGTTGTTGGTTGTTGCAGGGGAATAATAGGTGTAGTCTTCTTCCTCATGATCATTACTGGATCTCAAGTAAACGCATCGTCACACCTGATGGTCTCATCTCTGGTTCTGGTACGTTTTTTGAATCCGTTGATTCATGTGTTGAATAATCAATTTGTACACACTCATGATTAGGACTTAGACTTAGGTCACTTGTTCTCCAAGACACTGGTTTATTAGCTAATTGAAGTAAAGAAGACACTGATTTATTATTTTGTTGATTAGTGGAGGTGAAGGGAGGAATTATTGTGTCGGTGGTGAAGGAAGTTGATTGGCATAAGAGCCAAAGGAGTCGAGTGAAAGTGATTGACTATGGAGAAGCTGTCATCATGCCTGGTCTCATTGATGTGTATGTCATTTTTAAAACCATCATATGATTCTAGTTTCCATGCCGCCGTATCGCCTAACATCTTGGAACTTTTATAAAAGGCATGTTCATCTTGATGATCCTGGAAGAAGTGAATGGGAAGGGTTTTCTTCTGGAACTAAGGCGGCTGCTGCTGGTAATCATATCTGTTTCTCTTACTTGCAAGAGTGTTCTGTTTTGTGCTTACTTGAGATCATCTTTGTCTGTCAGGGGGAATAACCACATTGGTTGACATGCCCTTAAACAGTTGTCCTTCAACTGTATCTCCTGAAACTTTGAAACTCAAGGTAAAGCGATTCACTTTAGTTTCCCCCAGTTTTCTTGTTTGTCTAAAATGGAGCAATGTGTGCGTTTTTGTAGATTGAAGCTGCGGAAAACAGAATACATGTTGATGTTGGTAAACACTCTTTGTTATCAAACCTTACCACGTATGTTGAGTAAATGCAAAACATGTGTTGACGAAATCTTTGTTTCCATTTTTCTCTAGGTTTTTGGGGAGGTCTGGTGCCTGATAATGCACTCAACTCAAGCGCTCTTGAGTCTCTCTTAGATGCTGGAGTTCTTGGTCTCAAGGTAGATATCATGAAATTCTATGAAGCTGTGGCTGTCTTTTCAGGTTTTAAGATTCTTTTGCTGTCTACGTCTAACGTGACTTCTCTTAATCTTTGAACAGTCCTTTATGTGTCCTTCAGGAATCAACGATTTTCCAATGACAAACATAACTCATATAAAGGTTTTGTTTCTTGATTCTTATGTCCTTTTCTCATGATACAAGAATTCTTACAAAGGTTTGTGTCTGCAGGAAGGACTATCTGTATTAGCTAAATATAGACGACCATTGCTTGTACACGCAGAGGTTGAAAAAGACTTAGAGATTGAAGATGGCAATGACAATGATCCTCGTTCTTATCTTACTTATTTAAAAACCAGGCCAACTTCATGGTGAGACACTTTTTCTTTTTGCTCTATATAAGTTCCTATAGGATGATCATTTTACCTGAAAAGAATCTTTCAATTAGGGAGGAGGGAGCAATCCGAAACTTATTATCGGTTACTGAAAACACAAGGATTGGTGGTTCTGCAGAAGGAGCTCATGTTCACATTGTACATTTATCTGATGCCAGTTCTTCCTTGGATTTGATAAAGGTATTCAAGATTTCTAGCCTTGAGTTTTGGGTGTACCTCATTGCTAAAGCCGTGATATTATTTTGTCTTAAATTTGGTTTGATTAAAGGAAGCCAAAGGCAAAGGAGACAGTGTTACTGTTGAAACATGCCCACATTACCTAGCTTTCTCAGCCGAAGAGATTCCAGAAGGTGATACACGTTTCAAATGCTCCCCACCTATACGTGACGCAGCAAATAGAGAAAATTTGTGGGAAGCTATGATGGTATATACACTTCTTTTTTTTGGCAATCTTTGTTGCTATACCTTACGCGTTGATTCTGAAGTTTTTGATTTGATTAGGAAGGAGACATTGATATGCTGAGCTCTGATCATTCACCTACAAAGCCTGAACTCAAACTACTGAGTGATGGTAACTTCTTGAAAGCATGGGGTGGGATATCATCTTTACAGGTTCGTTGCAAAGTCTTAAAAATGTCTGACTCTCAATGTAATGTAGAAGAAAAAACTCATGGAACTGTGTCTTTGGAGCCAATTGCAGTTTGTTCTTCCAATCACATGGTCTTATGGAAAAAAGTATGGAGTGACGCTCGAGCAGGTAGCTTCTTGGTGGAGTGATAGGCCTTCTAAACTCGCTGGACTACATTCTAAGGTGCGTCATTCTTAAAAACACAGCTTCAATATTCTCCATTTATCGCAGCTTATAAGTATGATTTAATTATAGGGAGCGATTGCGGTTGGAAAACACGCAGATCTTGTTGTGTGGGAACCTGAAGCCGAATTTGATCTCGATAAAGATCATCCAATTCACTTCAAACACCCCGTATGTACACAGTTGTTACCAGCTAATGGTTAAACTCGAAAAACCGTATTGTCTAATCTTTATGTTATGTTTGTTTCTTGTGATGACAATAGAGTATCTCAGCTTATTTGGGAAGAAGATTATCAGGCAAAGTGGTTTCGACGTTTGTGAGAGGGAACTTGGTTTTTGGAGAAGGCAAGCATGCTTCTGATGCTTGTGGATCTCTGCAACTTGCGACTTGAAACTAAAAAGGGATTTAAAAGATCTTAATCCGCACCATTGTAACAAATGTAAATAGGTGATTAAAGAGTTGCTCTCATGTTGCTAGATGGTTGATGCTGTAAAATTAAGTAATGAGTGAGTCATTTTGCAAATTGCAAGTTTAAGACTCTCTAAAGCTCGTTGTTGGCTTTAATGTAAGTGGACTCAACAAATTTGTTGTAATGGTTTGAATTTGCTCACGTATAATTCATAACAAGACTTGACAATCACGTCACCAAGTCGTTCTCTTAGGTCTGTCTTGTGAAGATGATACAAACCGTAAATTGTGGTGTCAGAATTGAAGAGATAGTTTGTGAAGACAGGATTAGTGCATTGACCGAAGATGTGCTAGTATTAATGATCTTGGATCTTGTCCCGACAAAAGACGCAGTGGGCCACCATGTTTCTATCCAGATGATGGCTCTCTGTTTGGACGATGGAACTGAGAATGGAGTACAAAGACAGCGAAGAGGAGGATAGGATTGTGATGATAGTGATAGTGATAGTGATACTAATAGTGATAGTGATGATGATGATGATGAGCATGAGCACAAGGATGATGATGAGGAGGAGAAGAAAGTTGAGGATGAAAGCAAAAAGAGCGTTTGGTGGTTTCTTGAAAAATCATTGCAACTCCACAGAGCACCCGTGATAGACAGCTTGTGCATTGAACTCGGTCCAAGTTGTCCTACAGATGCTGATGTCGGGAACTGGGTTGCAAACGCGGTTGATCTCTGTGTGCTTGAGATGAAATTAAAGCTCCTCTGGCCCGCAGATCCAACCAGCTTGCCCAAGAGCCTTTACTCCTGCAAATAGCTTAGGACACTTAATCTCTCCCACAAGATTCTCGTGGGTGTTCCTTCTTCCGCTTCCCTCCCATCTCTATTCTCTCATAACGCTGGGGCTTTACTATGTGGTCTATAAAGACGATGATTCTCTGGTTAGGTTATTATCGAGCTGCCCTGCTCTCGAGGAACTGTTTGTGAAACGAAACAAGAAGGATGACAATGTGACCAAGTTTAGTGTGGAATTGCCTAGTAGCTTATTGCAGTTTACGTATGAAAATCATAGAAGCCGGCGAAAAGGAGATAATGGTAGGTGCTTGGTCGTAGATACTCCTGCATTAACTTCCTTTAAAACCCATGATACTACGGGAGACTGTTGGTCCATCGAGACGCCTTGTCTTCATTCTGCGTTAATCTACACTAATTCTTGCTCTGATGACAAGTTCCTAACATCTCTTTCATCGTTTTTCGTGGAATCCTTTCCGAATTTCTTGGATTTTATTTTGGCGGGAAAGTATTTTCCGCTCCTAGCAAAAAAATATCATCAAAACTTTAAATTAGATAAATATATTTATCGATAGTCATACTAATTTAACGATGATTAGATTCAATGACTTATTAGTTTTTTTAATTAAAAATTAGATAAATATATTGATCGATAGTCATACTAATTTAACGATGATTAGATTCAATGAATTTTTAATTAAAAAACTAATAAGTCATTGATCGATAGTCATACTAATTTGATCTGGAGACCTAGAAAATAGTCCGATTTGATTTCTGAATTGTGTTTCAGACATATTATAAAAATAAAGATATAAGGTAACGATATAGAGTTTCTTGTAAACTCACCAAAGATAAAGCATTAACCCTTTGGCCAATAATTGGTTAAAGGAGAAAAGAAGAGATATTTACGTTAATCATGCTTATGATCAAGCATATACTGATGAAAAAATGTTATGTATAAGTTTTGTACAAACATAATAGATGATCGTTGTGGTGCAGTAAAATTTTGAGGCTGTGGATTTGGTTTTATATTATCCAAAAGATATTCTATAAAAAGAAAAATTGGACGTAAAACCAATAATCTAACATAGAAAACATAAACGTAAAAACAAATATATATAATAACCAAAAACTTATTATTAGCCATCTAGGAGGATGCATCTAGGAGTAGTGCTCGATGTGGTGAGTCCGCATTTGTTTCTCATCCTCTTTCCAGACTTCATCGTCATGACAAATGGTGGGTGAATGCATCAATGTTCTCCACCCATGACTTTCAAAAACCAAAAGAAAAAAAACAAAGCTAAAGAAGAAGACGAGTGTGAGCGAGTGGTGATCGAGTGAGCGAGTGTGTGTAGCGAGTCTGTGAGAAGAAAGATACATATTATAGTATATAATCGCATGTACCCGAATTCATTTTAGTTTTTGTTTTAGTTTGATTCTGACGTCCGCCATCAATCCAACGGTTTATAATGAATTCATCCGACGGCAGACAGTAGGCGGTTTGTTTCATAAGGTTAATTTTTTTTTGAAAATTATGCATTTAATGAAGTGCGTTCGTGTGCATCTCACGTAAGAACTCTCTTCCCCTCCAAGGCCAAGTAAATGACATAATTGCCTTCACCCTCAAACTGTCTTTTTTTTACACGAGTTGACAAAAAAAATGGGAAAAATTATTATTATTATTTGGACGTTTTTTCAAATTATTATTTTAAACAAAAATTACCAAGAGATATTGTTTTTGACAACCAACCAAAATTGTTAAGCTTATTATTTTGTGTTTTGTTATTGATTTAAATACTTTCTAGTTTATCTTTTATTTTCTTTTTGGTAAGAAAATGTTTTTGATTTTGGGGCTGCACATGACAATCAACCAATCAATTTTTTTAAGAATAATTTATCAATTAAATCATGTCATTAACAAAGAAAACTACATGTTTGTAAAAAAAAACGAATAAAAAACTACAGATTCAGTTTCATTGAAGTCTTAGTAAAAATTTGTGAAGGATAAAGAACATAATTTCACCTCCTAAAGAAAAAACCTTAGAATGTAACTAGATAATTAATTCAAATATTTCCTCGTGAGTGATCCCCACATTCTAGCGATTGTGACTGGTAACTAGATAATTAATTCAAAAACTTTCAATAGTTTTTAACCGTGCAACACATACTAAAAGATAGAATCACCTATAGTAAATAGTTTATGGTGGATTTTGAGACACGCATGAATAGCCGTGGAAAAAAAATGAACAACAGGTTTAGTGATGATAATTGTTATCCCCATAAGAAACTACAACATAGATTTTTTCGTTAAAATTTTTAATCTGTGTGCAAAAATTTTGAACATCAAATAACTAAAACTCCAATTAAAAGAAGAAGAAAAATAATGTATGTTCATCTCCAAATCTCAATAAAGAAAAGAATCTCGAAATCACTAGTGTAGAAGATGTTGGAAATAAAGCTTAGAATCAGAATTGATAAAGAACGAAAGTTGGGCTCACTCCAGGGTTCACTCCGTAGAGAATCTACTGCACTTGAGCGAAAAACCGCCTAATCTAGGTGCAAGATAACCAAGACGGCTCACTCCAGGGTTCACTCTGCTCTCAATTGTGTTGTGCACTCAACCCAAAAGAGATGAAGCTCTCAAGATCAAACTCAGAAATTTGGAAGAAGAAGAAAGTAGAAAGTAGAAGAGAGATCTTTTCTACTTGATGATGCCATCGAGTCTCTCCCAAAACTCCTTTTTAAAGACCAAAAAACGAATCTAATCAAGTTAGATTTTTGTGCCATGGGAATCGCTCGTTCCCAGCCACGGCGTTGCCAACGAAGTGAAACATGTGAGAAAATTCAGCCACGTTCTTTGACTTAATCTTTTAGGGTGAAGGAGATTTGACATAACAACAAAACCAACCTGGGTCTTAAGAGCCCATTTCGAAATTCATAAAGCCCAATTGAAGAAACAGACCCAACAGAAGACAAACTCCTAATCTCGAAATCACTTTTGACAATCTCGTTTAAACAAGACAATCAATATGTAGCAGAGACAATATCAATTGTTTTAAAGTGAAAAATTTGTACAAGTGATGCAACATTAAAAAATTTAAATATCTATATTTGTGGAAATGATGATGACGAGTACAAAATCATAAGTTTAAATCTTGTGATTCACTTACAGACTTCTAATCTTGTAGTTTTAGATTAACCAATCTTAAAGGAGCTTTAAGAAAATATATCACATTCTTGTGACCGTGCCTTTTTTTTTAGATTGCTCTAAAGAACTTGGATCTTTCATGGTCAAGTATTCAATCTTAATACTCTCATGGTGGTGATAGTAAGAAAATATAATTCTGAAAAAAGTATTAAATTTTATATTGTATAAACATAAACATTGACATTATCATCCTGTTAAGTCAAGATTAAATACTAAACATCATCACCAGCTCACTATCGTGTCACTAAATTATGTTCTCATTCAATCAATTTATTACCAAACGAAATCCGATGACAACATTGTAAATTAAATGTAAATCTCCAAAATCATAGTATGTAAAACTTATCTTTTAAAGTCACCAGAAATCTGGAACGGAGATGACGTTGACAGTGATATTTATTTGATCAGTCCTTTGTATTAAATTCTTCATCTAAAAAAAACAAGAAACATTTAGTCAATCATAATTCTTTGTGTATATATATTTTAAGATCTTAATTACTAGCACATATAAATTTCTATAATTTACACACATATAATCTCTATACCTATATTGTAGAGATTCTCAATGTATATACATTGAAATGTATATACACTAAATAATAAAATATAGCCAGAATATCAAGTCAACGAATAGCATAATAAGGCATGCCTATACTTTATATTATCAACGAATCATAGAAATGAATAAGCATCATTAATCGATCATAGTAAACATAGAAATTGATCCTAAATCAATATAGTAATAAGTCATGCAACAAAAGCTCGATCAAATCATTACTCATTACTCAAAACATTACCAAACGATATTAGAAACCAACGTTTACCACACGACCCTTTTTTTTTTTAGGGTAATATTACTAACTAGCCAAATTTGACACATAAATTAAGAAACTAGCAGAGAGAGAAATTTCTGTCGGAAAACAGCATGGACCCACCTTGTCTGAAGAGGTGAAATAACAAAACCATCCTCCGTTTGTTTTGAGATCTACAGTAGGCGACATTGTTTCGTGATATTTTTCAAAATAGCACGTAAGATCTAAATTTCACATGTTATATTTAACTAAAAGACATGCTATTTAAAAAAACGTAGTGAATTTTTAAGAAAAAACATTGTTACGTAGTGTTTTTTTTTAAAAAAACATTGTTACGGAAAACTTAAACTTGAATAGAATCTTTTTATAAAGAAAT